GAATCTCCAGAGATGGGCCCCTACTGTGTGTCATATATTTTTTAAAGTCTCCAGAAGTGATACTCATGATTCAGGTTAAAACTGCTGATTTGAGAGAACTCTAAATGGTGTCTTTTGGCAATAAACTACTCCCAAGTCTCTTGTTCTTTGCATTCTCTGAGACTTACATATGAAAAAAAATAATGTATTTATTCAAATTTGAAAATTATGTCCAAGTGAAAAATACTGTAAATGGTCACTGATGATTTGAAAGGGTCATAAATTGGCTAGGATGACTCTGATCTTTACTGAAGTATAATTTTGCAAATTTCCAACTGCCTTGGTTTAAGAATATAGATCCAAAGCCATGAGAACAATCTCTGCTATTTAGCTGTTAATAGATTGTCCTACGGAGAAGGCAATGGCAACCCACTTAAGTACTCTTGCCTGGAAAATCCCATGGATGTAGGAGCCTTGTAGGCTGCAGTCCAAGGGGTTGCTTGGAGTTGGACACGACTAAGCGACTTCACTTTCACTTTTCCCTTTCATGCATTGGAGAAGGAAATGGCAACCCACTCCAGTGTTCTTGCCTGGAGAATCCCAGGGACGGGGGAGCCTCGTGGGCTGTCATCTGTGGGGTCGCACAGAGTCGGATATGACTTAAGTGACTTAGCAGCAGCAGATTGTCCTAACTACTGGTTACAAACATAAAGTTATAGTCTATTAGAAAAATATTCGGGGACTTACATTGGGTAGAATATACAGTTTTTAACTGTTTACTGTTTTTCTTCGTCTATAACCAAGAGCCTGGAATATAAGCAAGTGGTTTTAAAAAAAAAAAAATCACTTACACAAGTTAACAGATTAGTACATGTGAAAAAATGAAAAATTGTAAACAAAGTCAATCCCATTCTTTAAGTAAGTAAGCCACTATTTTTTTTTTGATATGCACTTTTCTACTGGGGTTTTAAACGCCAGTTAAGGGACTTCCTGGAGGCCCAGTGGTTCAGACTGTACTTCCAGTGCAGGGGGCACAGGTCAGGGCACTACGATGCCACATGCTGTGTGGAGAAACAAACAGCACCAGTTTAAATTACAATAGTAGGTTTTGCTTGTTGCTAAAGATCTGAACACCTGTTAATGTGCCAGCCTATGTACTAGAGAAAGAATAAAGAAAAGAGTGTGGGAGACACAAAAGTGCTTGGGGTATGACTGTGTTTAGGGTGCAGGAGAGAGCTGGGCACTGAGCAGGCAATCTCGAGATTGTCTCAGTGTTATGCAGTGAAAGTAAAGTCGCTCAGTTGTGTCCAGTGACCCCATGGACTGTAGCCTACCAGGCTCCTCCGTCCATGGTATTTTCCGGGCAAGAATACTGGAGTGGGTTGCCACTGCTTTCTCTAGAGATCTTCCCCACCCAGGGATCGAATCCCGGTCTCCCTCATTGTAGACAGACGCTTTACCACCTGAGCCACCGGGGAAGTGTTACGCAGGGTGAGAGCAGTTGTATTGGGGGCCACTGAAGTTTTAAGAGGGTGAATGACTTAATTTAAGCACCGTTAGGAGCCTTGCTTGCTTTAGTAAAGTAAAACTAATATCACAAACAACATTTTTTAAATTTGTTTCACACAGTGTAGGATTCTCTTGAACACCTGATGCCTAGGAGTGTATATGTCTTTATTTAAATAAATGTTTCTTCACAGGTAGAACTGAGGAATTCTCTCATTACCATTTATAGGAATTGTATGAGAGCACCATACATTTAAATTATGTTACACTGGCCATACAGTATAATTATATAAAGGACAGATGACTGTTTCCTTGTATTCAGTGGGTTATACTATTAAGTGGCAATACTAAAAGATACCTACTTTATGGAGTAGTATAGATCCTCTTAGGCTTATGTCATATGCTGTTATTTAGTATATTTTTCCCATTTGTACCAGTTTGGAAAATAAAAACAGTATACTGGATTAATAATTTTATTTTCCCATGGTTATAATTCAGTGTCTAATAATTCATGTCCTAATACATAAAGTTTTGAATCATTAAAAAATATCTTTAAAATGTTTTTTTCCAATAGGATTCCATATGGCTCTCATATCATTCCTTTCCATCTTTGTCAAGATTTGGATACTGCAAAAACCTGTGTTTGTGGAAGATACAGCATAAGCAGTTTTATTCAAGGAACTACTACCATGAATCTACACTCTGTTGCTCACACTGTGGTCTTAGTAGATAATATGGGTGGTACTGAAGCACCCATTATCTCTTACTTCTGTTCTCTAGCCTGTTATGTAAATTCTTGTGATATGCTCAAGTAATAGGTGATACCACAAAAAGGAAAAAAAATCAGGCTAATTTGGGATTCACTTATGGTTTAAATGTCACATTGGAAAAAAGGAAGCTTTCCATGGATTTTGTATACTTGATTGAGGGGAAGAATGTGTGGTAGTCTAACATTTTCAATCATTTGACTGTAAAATCTTAACTTCATTAAAACCTGGTTAATTTTATTGTGGTGTTAACTTTTATCAGTTTATCACACTTGTGTTGATTTTGGCCTAGTACTTCCGGTTGTGGGGTTATCTTTTAATGTTAAACAGGTATTAATCCTAACCACTCTGGTTGTAGAATTTTCTTAATTTTTGTCTTACATTTAAGTTAAATTGAGTTTGTTTGCAGAAAATACACTTTGGACTAATACAGTCTAAATTGTAGTGAAAACTTGTTCAAAATGAAACTACATATGTTTTTAAACACTTGTATTTTCTGGTATATTTTTCTATATATGGAATTTTATATTCACCAAACATAAAGTAGAAGTTGTTTTGGACAAATATTAAAAGTTTTATAATATTAATCACATTATCTTTGTTGTGATTTTCAAGTTTTTCCATTTTTAGGGTTGGAATAAGGTTTTGGTGTTGGATAGGAATAGGAGAAAATTGCTACTTTTTTACTGATTAAGTTCTGTATTATATGAGGGTTGTTCTTTTTCTGTTGGTCAGGTTTTTTAAACTTGGAGTATAATTGCTTTACAGTGTTGTTAGTTTCTGCTGTACAACATAGTGAATTAGCTGTTGTTGTGTGTGTCAGTCGTGTCTGACTCTTTGCATCTCTCTGTATACATACATCCCCTCACTCTTGAGCCTCCCACCCCTCTAGGTCATCACAGAGCACCAAGTTGAGTTCCCTGTGCTGTACACCAACTTTTGGTCTTTAAAACTAAGAATTTTATAAGAATCTTAGGACTTTCTAAACTCATAAATTACTGAGATATTGACCAAAAATATTATGTTCCTGTAGAGAATTATTTCATCAATAAACACAGGTATAATAGGCTATGTTGGGAATAAGTGCTAACCATGTTATTCCTACGCACTAGCCCTTTGCATTCTTCATCTACAAGCCATCTCCATGTAAGCATCTTAGCCTATTTAAAATTCATGTACAGAAAGCAGAATTTGTTCTCATAACCCATACCCTTTCCCAGTTTATTTTTCCTTTCACTTGATATTCAAACTCCTTTTTCTTTCTTGCCTTTATGTGTTTACTAGACTCACTTCTTTCATTCTGATTTTAACTTTCCATTTTATTCAGTCATGGTTGTTTACCTCAACCCTCCCCACAGTCAATTTATAACATTAGAGTACCCCCCAGAGTATGTTCAAAAGGGTTCAAACAAGAGTTTATGTTGTCATAACTCATGCTTTTTTCACAAGCTTCAGAACTTTTTGTAGTTAGAAGTCCATTATTAACTCCTACCTTACATTCAAGACTGAGGTCTAATAAAGAACTGTCCAAAAAACTGATGGAATTGTTTGTTCTGTCTCTTGTCCAATACGGTGGTCACTAGCCACATGTGGCTAGTGAGCAATAAATGTAATGAAGTGAGGCACTGCATTAATGTAAGTAGCTATATGTGGCTAGTAGTCCCTGCTGGAGTGTACACTTGCAGAAAAATCAGGGGGTTTTTTTGGCAGCCATTGTGAGATTAGTTCCCCAACCAGGGATTGAACCTGTGTCATTAGCAGTCAAAGCACTGAGTTGGAACCACTGGACCACTAGGGAATTCCCAAAGTCAGCTTTTAATTTTTTCACCTTGGATCCTCTGTTTGACTCAGTCTGCTGTACACAGGTGTAGCTTATCCCCTTCACTTTTAAAATTTCATATTGGACCATAGCACAATATTGTGTTAACATTGGAGCATAACACAAATAATATTTAGTTTCAGGTATACAGCAGTGATTCAGTTATACATGGTTCTATTCTTTTTCAAATTTTCTCTATTTTCTCATTTAGGTCATTACAGAATATTGAGAATTCCTTGTGCTATACAGTAGGTCCTTGCTGGTTGTCTGTTTTAAATATAGCAGTGTGTACATGTCAATCCCCAATTCCCACTCTATCCCTTCCCCCCCAACCCGAAGTTTATTGTCAATCTGAGTCTGTTTTGTAAAATTTTAAATTCATTTGTATCATATTTAGCCATGTCATGCCTTTCTCTGGCTTACTTCACCTATTATGATAATCTTCAGGTCCATCCATGTTGTTGCAAATGGGGTTATTTCATTCAATGGCCGAGCACTTGTCATTTACTTTTTTTCAGTCTGATTAAGAACTTTCCAGCAGCTCATCAATCATAATTATGAATTCACCCAACCTAACTATATGTATTTTAAATTGACCTGAAAAAGTAAAGGATCCGTTTTTCCCTTCATTATGATTTACCTCCATAACCTAGTTAGAAAATTTGAGGTAGGACTCCTATCTTCTTTATATATAAATACAAAATGCCAGTTCTTGTGGAACAAAATCTAAATAATGAATTTGAGAAGAGGATGAACTTTAACCCATAAATAATTTGCCATTATTTTAATTTAGAACCATATTAGGCATGCAACTAATGTGAAACACAAGATTTTAGTAAGGATATCACTGTATTTATTCTCATTCAGGAAATTTTTCTATAACTTCAATATTTTCCTCTCAAAACATAAGAACAAAAGAGTCCCAAATCTTAGAACTGGATCACTTGGCCCTTTCTCTTCTTATCTCCTCCGAGTTCAAAATGCTTGCATCTCTTAATGGCCAGCATCCTCTTGGATCTGCAGTTGGGCTCAACACATTCAAGTCTCAGCACGATCTTCTTTGTGGTTTTCGCCTTCTTCCGGAAAATTGGCTTGGTTTGCCCACCATAACCACTCTGCTTCCGATCATAGCGCCTCTTTCCCTGGGCATACAGGGAATCTTTGCCCTTCTTATACTGGGTCACTTTGTGCGGCTGATGCTTTCCACACTTCTTACAGAAAGTCCTTCGGGTTTTAGGGACATTGACCATCTTTGCAGTAGAGGTGTCTTCTCGGTGCAAACTGTTGTAAAACCCGACAGCAAACGTTAGAACACTTGAAACAGCAACGTTAAATCCACCAAGTACTCATTTTCCGTATGAGTAAGTGCACAACTTTTCGGAATGCTTATTTACAGAATGAGACTCACTGAAAAACAGCAAGAGCAGCAGCACAGGGACGCCCAGTCCGGTCAGCCCCGCGTACAAAGTGGCATCCTTTGGGGCTTACTTTACCGTGGCTGCCCAACAACTAAAGCGTAGCGGTGTGATACCTTATTTTCTCCGGCAGAGAGAGGGCCGAGGCTGGAGTTTATTTTCGACTCTCAGCGCACCCTTTCCCTCCATGTTCTAGCTCCCGGGCATGCCTGGCTCGGACGCGGTGTAGAACCACCGCCACGGCCCGCCCAGTCCCTCCGAGGACAGCATCTGCCTAGTTTCACTTTTGCCTTCAAAGCACCGTCACCCGTAAAAGCCCTGAAGGCTGACGTGTCCTTAATGAGTACCTCGAGGCCGAGCAGCCGCCATGCGAGGGCCCTTTCCGGAAGGGAAAAGTGAATTCTGGAAATCCACTAACCAAGGCGGCGGGCCTCGCCCTCCCTCTCCTAACAGGGCTCAGCGGGCCCGACCCGGCCCGGCCAGCCTCGAATCCTGGGCACTGGAGGCTCCGCCGTGACCGCCACCACCCAAATCCCGGCTTACCGAGAGACCCGCCGTCCACGTTCCTGCCTCGCTCTGCTCGCGCCTCACAGGAAAGGGAGGGACGTGGCGGAAGTAGGAACTGGGCCTGAGCGGCAGTGCTGCGGACCAATAGGTGGCGGGCAGCGACGGCCGGGCGTCGCCGGACGTGTCCGGGAAGCGCCAACCGACGGCCAGGGGCGGGCCTGAGGGGTGTGGGTCCCGGCGCCGCGGCGCTCGGCGGGCCAGTCGCTGGTTGTCAGGACAGTCGCCGCCGGAGTGAGGCGAGCCGAGGCTGTGTCTCTCGTTCCGGGATGTCCGGGGCCGCGTAGAGATGAGAGCGCGGAGGACGCAGGGCCGCTGGAGGCGCAGGTAACGGAGCCGAGCACAGTGGAGCCGCGTCGGGCTTCTTCCCGGGCCGGTGCTGAATGGAGAGGACCGAAGCGACGCCGTGCCGCGGCTCCTAGCGGCGGGGCCGCTGCCCGAGCTTCAGTTGCCAGGTGAAAATGTGTGGAGCCGGGGCGGCGCGGGGGAGCTGAAAACCTGCGGGTCCCCGGACCCCCGGGGCCCGGGATGAGTTAGCGAGGGCAGCCGCGGGGGCCAGTTCCGACTGCTGCAGGCCACCGCCACGGTCGCCGCCCGCCCGCCCCTTCCCCGCCGGAGCCGCTAGCTCCTTTCCGCGCCCGCCCGCCCGCCCGCCTGCCCGCGCTCCCGGCCCCGGAGACCATGAGGTTCCGCATCTATAAGCGGAAGGTGCTGATCTTGACGCTCGTGGTGGCCGCCTGCGGCTTCGTCCTCTGGAGCAGCAATGGGCGACAAAGGAAGAACGAGGCCCTCGCCCCGCCGCTGCTGGACGCCGATCCCGCGCGGGGTGCGGGCGCCCGGGCCGGGGACCATCTCGCCGTGTCGGTGGGCATCCGCCAGGGCTCCAACGAGTCGGCGGCTCCGCTGGTCGCCGCGGCCCCGCAGCCCGAGGTGGACAATCTGACGCTGCGGTACCGGTCCCTAGTGTACCAGCTGAACTTTGACCAGACGCTGAGGAATGTAGATAAGGCCGGCTCCTGGACCCCCCGAGAGCTGGCGCTGGTGGTCCAGGTGCACAACCGGCCCGAATACCTCAAACTGCTACTGGACTCACTTCGAAAAGCCCAGGGAATCGACGACGTCCTCGTCATCTTTAGCCATGACTTCTGGTCGACCGAAATCAATCAGCTGATTGCTGGGGTGGATTTCTGTCCAGTTCTGCAGGTGTTCTTTCCTTTCAGCATTCAGTTGTACCCTAACGAGTTCCCGGGCACTGACCCTCGAGATTGCCCCAGAGACGTGGAGAAGAATGCAGCTTTGCGGATGGGATGCATTAATGCTGAATATCCCGACTCCTTCGGCCATTATAGAGAGGCCAAGTTCTCCCAAACCAAACACCACTGGTGGTGGAAGCTGCATTTTGTATGGGAGAGGGTCAAAGTCCTTCGAGACTATGCTGGCCTCATACTTTTCCTAGAGGAGGATCACTATTTAGCCCCCGACTTCTACCATGTCTTCAAAAAGATGTGGAAATTAAAGCAGCTAGAGTGCCCCGAGTGTGATGTTCTCTCCCTGGGGACCTATACTGCCATTCGAAATTTCTATGACGTGGCTGACAAGGTGGATGTGAAAACGTGGAAATCCACAGAGCACAATATGGGTCTGGCCCTGACCCGGGAAGCCTATCAGAAGCTGATTGAGTGCACAGACACTTTCTGTACTTATGATGATTATAACTGGGACTGGACCCTTCAATATTTGACTGTATCTTGTCTTCCAAAATTCTGGAAAGTGCTGGTTCCTCAAGTTCCTAGGATTTTTCATGCTGGAGACTGTGGTATGCATCACCAAAAAACTTGTAGACCAGCCACCCAGAGTGCCCAACTTGAGTCGCTCTTAAATAATAACAAACAGTACCTGTTTCCAGAAACTCTAACTATCAGTGAGAAGTTTATGACAGCCCTTTCCCCACCTAGGAAAAATGGAGGGTGGGGAGATATTAGGGACCATGAACTCTGTAAAACTTATAGAAGACTGCAGTAAAAAAAAAAAAAAAAAAAATCAGAATTATAAAAGCAAAAGTAGTAACAGTCTTCTATTTTTGATATTTGTTCAAATAGGATATATAATTGAATAAAAAGGTTTAGGAACTGGTTTCTGCTTTAATACAACAAAATTCTTGTAAAAGTTGTCCAAATATAGTCATCTTTTCCGTTTATGTCTGATTAAGATTTAAAACGCAAGTTTTCATTTTGAGAATTGGCGTTTTAAAGTTCAGTGTGTATCTGCTAGAGGTAAAATCATCGTTAATTGATAAGAGAGAAGAGGGGAAACTATTTAAATTGCATCTATTAATCTTTTTATCTGGAACTTTGTACACTTTTCCACTTTCAAGACTTATTTTAAGTACAGCAAAATTTATTTAAAATTGTCATATCAGTAAAAAGTATTACAGTGAAATTAAGAGTATTAATGTACAAGCCCAGCTTCACTCTTGACACAGTAACTAGGAAGAGGTTGCTTCAGTGGTTTTATAATTAGAAAGTTATGTTTGTTAAACACCCTGTCAGAACAGAGTCATTTTCAGTATTAAAGATTCCTGTATTATTGTGTTAAGAATTGCCTGTGCTCTGGAACCTGCATAGAACATACTTTCTTTTGGAATGTATTCTGACTGATAAGAAAGTTTAAACACTTTTCACCTCAATGTAGAAATACAGTGATTTTTTTTTTTTTCTTTTAGTGCTGCCAAAATAAAATACTTGTTTTTGCATTAAAAGGTTCCTAATCATTTTTCAGAATAATTTTACATCAAAGTCCACTAAAGACACTTGAAGATTTAAAACTAGCATTACATCTTATTTGTACATTGTATAAATAAGTTTGAAATAAAGAAAATCCAGCTCTTGACAGTGCATTCCCTTTAGAGGAAACTGGCTTTCAAGTTAGCCTCACAGAGATAATGAGCAATAAAAAGCTGCTGTGTAAGTGAAATACAGCCAGAAATGAAACAAAGTTCAGTCCTGCCAAAGTGAAACATGTTCTAGAGCCAGCTTTATTTGATCAGAAATTGTACTTTTAAATTTAAAACAACAAAGTAAATAAGAAACAGGCTTAAAATTTATTCCATACTTAAAAGTTTCCCTTAACATACATAATTGCATTCAACCAAAAGTATACTCATAGACTAATTTCTGTGTTGATACTGCAAATAGTCATTTCAACCTAAAGATTGTGTACCTAATGGACAGTCTCAAAATTATTACTGAATCAAGAGATTCCTGTCATGGTTGAAAAATGTATATGGTCATCTATAATGGTGCAAATAGTTCTGTTTTATGAGTTCCTTTATACTGCGTATCAGGATGAACTGCCAGGTGTTGTTCCAGCTTTTGGTGCTCTGACCTGACCTCCCTAGTTCAAAAAGACTATAAAGAAATTAGGTAGTTTCCTGGACTAATATAAGGCCAGAGGTTTGAGTTAGTAGCTGACTTTGGAACAGAAATACATCATCAGCTCATGGTCTTGGGGTCAGCAATTAGATCAACAAATATTTTCCTTTCTATACTGTCTTTCGTGTTGTCTGTCCCAAAACTTTTTGTGAGAGCAAAAAGAAACTATCGGGATTTTCTCCTGGCCTTATATAAAATATTCCACAACTCATAACTTAGCAACTATTAGAAACATCTGCTGCCCTCTTTTAGGTATTATAAAAGAAACTGATTAGGAAACACTAGCTTTTGTTGTCTTCATGTAATAACATAGGAAGACAATTTTCCTATTGGAGTAAATTCTCAGATTTTCTTAAATTGTCTTGTTCTAAAACTTGTAAACTAATTTTGTAAAACCAAGGAATATTTTACTAATTTCCGAAAAATTATTTTAAATTTTGAGTTTTCAAAGTCATTAATAACTTATTTATATATATGTATACATCCACACAAAAATACGGTGACTTACATATGAGAAGAGTAAGATACAGAGTTGAAGCAGAAATAATAAATTTCAGTGTATTTGTATTGTTTGAATCATTTAATGTTGGTTAATAAAGTTCTTTCAGAATCTCTATGACAAGCATAAATACTGAATAAATCCTATTTAGTGAGATTTATAAACACATAGTTTTGAGATTCTCCTTCCCCCAACACACACACTCTATTGTGTGTGCTTTTAGTTCATTGCCTTCTTGAGAATTACTTTTTGTGACACAATATTTTGGAAACTTTATTAAAGTAATGGCAAACAAAAGAAACCAAAAACAAGACTATAAACAGGTTGTATTGACACTAAACATTTAACTCTCCATTAGAAAAAATATACAACAGTGGAGTCACAAAATTTCCATAATTAAGGAAGCTTTGTATTGACATAAACTGTACACACATAAAAAAAAATTAGCTTCAGTTTCCCCATAAGAATAAAAATACAAATTTTAATTTTATACTTTTTTGAATACTTTTGGTTTTAAGATAGTAAACAATCTATTTTATGTCCAAAAGTTTTTACTCATCCTTTAAATTAAAAAATGATACAGAATTAATCCAAGTCATAAAGCAAAGAATTCTGAAAACTGAATGAGCAGTGAGTCACATGATCTTTAATGATCTGCACACTACCATCCTGCATATTGGTTTCCTTTATGTGGTCAAAACCAGGTGTATTGTGAACTGCAGTTTTGTTCAGTAACGGAGATGAGTGATTTCCATTCAATTCTTTCTCTTCAGTTATTACTGGTTCTTTTAAGTTATCTTTTTCTTCATTTGCATAAACAGCACTTTTGTCTTTTATAAATTCACGTTCCTTTTCTGACTTAGGTTGCTGAGACTTTGCAAACAGCTTTTGAGAAACATCAAGAGCCCCTTGTTGCAAGCATGGGACTGAACCACAACTGTCTGCTTCTAGTACTGTGACTGCTATAGATGAATCAGAATCAGTTGTTGAAGTGGAAGCATGTTCTGTATTTTCTTTTTCTGTTAGAGGACTTGCTTCATGGACTTTTTCTTCTTTTTCATGAAGCTGCTCAGAGTTACTGCATTCTTGCAACTATGTTAAGAGAAACAGCAAATTAATAATTCACTGAAACAAACAGAAAAGTAAATTGTACTCCCTGGAAACTTCTTTAAGTTGTGAAGGAATAACCCAGTAGACTTGCAAGTCTGCTTCCTGGCTTCCCCCTCAAGGTCAATTTCCAAATGCTGCCAGTCATTTTTTAACAATGCAAACCTGGCATTGATTGTCTAATTAAATCCTTTCACTGACTCTTCATCTTCTTCAGGATAAAACAATCCTGGCCTACAAATCTTTTAACATGGCCTATAAAGCCCATTAACAGTCATTTTTATAAGGGCACTCTTGGTTCACTGGTTAGGACTCCACCCTCACTTCCAAGGACCTGAGATCAATCCCTGATTAGGAAACTGAGATCCTTCAAGGCCTCCCAGCCAAAAAATTTTAAAAGGGCATTCTTGAATTTTCCTGTATTTCTGTGATTCTTCAGAACCTCTTTCTCAGCCAGTTCACACATATAAGTCAACTGTGCTAGTTACTAAATTATTTAAGCCTAATATCGAAGACTATAAAGATAATCAAACTTAAACTAGAAAGAATGAACAAACCATATATAACATATATAGTTCCTGTGGTTTGAGAGTCAAAAAGAGTTGTTAGTCCCTGGACTAATACTCACATTTCCCAAATGTTAGTTTCTCTCTATTTCCTCACTGGACAGTTATTTTGGAATTAAATGAGATAAGTGAAAATGAATCACAGATGTTTAACAGTAAAATACACATCAAAAAAGGTCTGTATTCTTAACATCACTCTTCCCAGATATTATGTGCATTTAAAGTTATGATATAAAAAATCAAGAATTAAGTGATTTGTCAGGCTTCAACCTTGCCCCAAATCACTACTTTATAAAGCCTACCCAAATCCTTACCTTTGCATGTATTTCAATCTTACTATCAGTAACCTGAAGAACTTCAATTAATGGTGGCGTCAGGGGTAATGTCTGTTTGAATGGAGGGCTCAGGACCTCTTCAAGAAACTCATTAACATTATCCTCATTGACAAATAACCTTTCCTAAAATAAAAAGAGAAAAAATATTCTACTTTATTGGTCATACTTGACAGACAGAACTGTATCTAAAATCATCTCATAACAATTCTCACACAATTCAGGTCTTCACTTTCAATATGTTTATTTCATGTTATTCCTATGCTGTTTTGGCCAAAGAAAACAGTATTGTACAGAGCAAAAATAGCAAGAGTACACACATATCTAGGAGAAGACCCTAAAATAAAAAGTCTTAGTTCCTTTTCTAGGTCTGTATAAATCTGAGGTATGCTTTCCCTCCAGATAATCCTACTTACAAATCATATCTTCCTTTTTCCCCCCCCCTCAGTATTTTGTAAGAATAACATCACCTCTAGTTTTAAATGCAGTCCAAACTATAAAATGTAATTCAATTTTAGAACACTTCCTAATGAGTCAGCTAAAGATAGACAAGACAGGATGCATTCAAATTTTGTGTGACCAATTTGCCTTTTAGTTCTTGGCTAGGTAAGAGCCAAGTATAATATTTTATTTAAGAGAATTATATTCTATTTTTAAGCACTGTGATAGTCCATTGCAACACTAGCATATAACTGTATATAAGAATGAGGAAGCACTATAAATCAACTAATCTAAAAAAAAAAAGAATGAGGAAACACAATATTGTAAATCAACTATACTTAAATAAAATTTTTAAAAATTAAAAAAAGGAAGGAGGTAGATTACCAAACTGTAGGATATACAAAAGTCACTTTTGCAGGGAATCCCAAAGACAAAGCAATTTGTTCTTATTCGAGTATGTCAAGTGAATATAGCTATATGGTTAGGTCTTTGAAGGAATAACCATATTTTAAATTCTTCAAATCAGTTCACCATTGCCCCAAATAAAAATTTTTCCTCTGTACTACAATATAAACAAATTAATTACAAATACACACAATGCATTATTTGGTCCAAATTGGGGGCGTGGTGGGGAGGGGAATCAGAAAGTGATGTTTCGAATTCCCTTCTATTAAACATAACCTGTGAACACCTACCAAACAAAAGTGAACTTTGGTGAAAGAAAAATTTTACATTTGAAATAATTTGCCTTGTATTATCTGAAGATCTAGGCGACAGAATAATACTGTAGGGTACAAACAACCCTCCCCCCCAAAGCATTTCTAAGGTTCATGTCTCTGCAAAAGACTTACACATTAACTGCAAAAACTACACCAGATAGTTCAGTTACCTCGGAAGAGTTAACATTTATAATGGAAATGGTTATGATTAAAATAGAAAGGACTTGCATAAAGTTGCCTTCTTGGTCTAATGACTAATTTTACTATAAAATATAATAAATTCAGAGGTCCTAAAGCTCTAGGAAAATTCCCAATGAAGACTTAAGGTTTACAGAAATGTATTTCATACTTGTGTGTAAAGTAACAAATTCTGACCTTGACAGCCACAAATCAGTCTCTTTATAATATTTTCATATAATGCATATAATAATGTAATCATTATATATGCCTACTCACAAAATACTGTTGTGATTTTTTAAAAAACATTTTTTTTTACTTTGATACAGCCTGTTCAATAAAATTTAAAGGAAAAAAATTGAACATTATGGTTCCATCAGCCTCAGCAAATGTGATGATTAATGAAGTAATTATAAATCTATTTCAGGCTTCAAAGATATAAAACACAGTTGCCCTAATCCCATTTTGGTCTAGTTTCTTTGTTAAAAAAACATTCAGATACTAGAAAGTCAGATTAAAATATATTCTTTAGTATTCTCTCAAATGTTGTCCATTAAAACTTTCTTCCCACCTTGTGAGTTATTTTCTCATTTACTAAAACAATTACAGGAAAACGACTGCCCTTTCCTAAATTTCCCCCTTCTGATGACATAAACAGATAGTCAATTTCATATTTTATTTTCTCACAAAGTATCTTACCTAGCCCTGCCTATTTATTTTACCATTTTTGGAGGGTTTCAATTAACCACTTCTCATAGAAGATGCACCTCATAAACATAAAAATTTAACTTACTAGTAAATTTCTAGAAAAACACAGGAAGAAGTAAACTTTCTGGCAGGTTAAATAAAGCCCAAGGCCCAAAGCTTAAATTTTAATATATAATCTGTGTAACTAGGGTTCTAAATTAGGGAATTTAACCCTTGAAGATCTTAAAAGAGCAAAATAAAATTACATGTAACATTGATACAAACCACAATCAAAAGTACCAATTGTTGACTTATGAGTATAAACGTTCTATAGAACTTCAAATTTTAAATAGGTCCCCCCCCCTCCAGTATTTGCCAATAGTACTGGAGTACTGAATTAAATCTCAAGATCCTAGTAGTAACTACAAAATTATATCCTAGGTAAACCTAAGATTCAGCCTGTTTTTTGACTAAAAGAGATGGAGCTGATGTCGGTGCTAACAAAGGATTATATTACACTTTGTTAAATGCCAGCCATTATGCCAAATACTAGTAGGGAAGAGATTAAAACTGATGCCAAAAGAAGAAATTTCACTGTAATGTAAAGACCACTAGAAGTCAATCCCACCAACATCAAGGAGTAAAATTAATCTGCACCGTATGGCAGAGAACGCAAAGTATTTAGATTCAGCCCTGGGTCTGAGTTGGTTTTCCCATTAAAAAACCGGCACAGGCCGTTACTTTTGCTTTTTGGAAGTAAACTATTATTTACTTTCTAAGGTTGGGAAAAGCTATTTAAAACGTAAAATAACGCTATGATAGAATGTCTCTTCCCTATTTGTGTCACAAACCCCTTTGAGAATATGACTAAAGTTATAGTCCTCCCCAGAAGAAAACCCTCAACTTTGTGTATACAATTTGAGAGGCCTACGGATCCCTGAGAATCGATTCATGCATTGAGGGCAACTTTGAAGACTTGAAACCCATCCACCAGAGAGGATGCGTTAAATTTTTTTTTTTTCAATTATGCGTTTAACGTGTACTGACGTCTTTCATCAAGGGTTATCAACTTCAAGTCGTCAGGAGAGAAGTTATACTGGGAAATCCTTTGTTCAGGATAAACTGTGAGGATGACTGTGATAAGTGGAATAGAATATGTTAAACATTAAGACTCTAGAAAGAACTGTTACCTCCAAACAATAGTTGTTTAAGCCGTAATACCACTCTCTCCAGTATCCATGGCATTCTGGAGACTTGGCCAGGTCTATCACTGCATTGTTGGAAGAAATGCTAACCACTGGTTCTTTGGTACTCAATTTATTCTCTGGAGCAAATTGCAAAAAGAAGGAATAATAAACTAAGTCTTGGGTAGAGAAGGACAATTTGTACCAGAGGGGGTTCACTTCCCCTTGAAGACTTTGAGGCAGGATCCAAGGCACTTGAATGAGCAGAGTCAGGGATTCTTCATCCTGCCTACACTGCAAAGGCGGACACAAAGCTTCCCCGCGGTCGGTCTCGGGACCACCCATCGCTCGATCAGCCAGCTCCCTGCCGGTGCGTTCCCGGGCCTCGCGCGCCTCCACGCCGAGGGTCGGGCGCACGCTCGCGCTCCCTACAGAAAGGCCCGCGTCAAGGCCCGCGTCAAGGACCCCGCAGGAAGTACTAAGAGCGCCTCCGCCACGGTCCCCAGGTGAGTTCCCGGCTCCGGGAGGCGGCTCCTCCCCGGTCCCCGGGGTTGGTATCTCTTGTCCGCCGAAATCCCGCTCCTCGGATTCTGCGACGCGCTCCTCCCCGGCGGCGTCCAGAGTGGTGATCCCGGCGTCTGCAGCCCGGGTTCGGCTGGGACCTGAGCTTGCGTCCCCAGCACAAACCCCCGCCGGGCCCGCCTCCACGGGGCGAGCGGAAGCGCAGGCCGCGCCGTCAGTTCCTGGCGGATCGGCTGCCCCTTCCGGGGACGCGGCGGGCTCCGGGCGCGAGGCGGTCGGTGCCACGGGAAGCGTGACCACCAGCTGCCGCCGCGCCTTGTTGAACTGTGCCTTGCCGCGGCTGTCATCCACCGGGTACGGGAGCGAGAGTCGCAGCCGGTAGTCGGGCTTCCTTGAGTCAAGGCATAGCAGCTTCCCCGTCACCTCCAAAGCCGCCTGCTCGGCCGATCGCAGCAACGGCAGCTCGATGGTAACCACCAGCTCTTGGGGCACGGTGCCGGGCGCCGAGTCTCGGGAGCAGCGGTAGTCCTGGAGGTCCACGTGGTGGCGCTGCACCACGCTGTAGCGAGGCTCGGTGGGGGCGGGCTGACGGACCGCCTCCGGAGGGGAGGGCGCCTGGGGCCGGGGCACCGCAGCGCTCACGCCGGCCGCCGGGTATCGGTATGGGTAGGGGAAATCGGGGAGAGGGCTCTCCGGCTCCCCCTCGGGTCGGGCCGGCGCGCCTCCGGGCAGGGGCGTGCGTAGCACGGCGGCATCCGGAGTCCCCTTGTACTTGATCTTCAGGGTCTTGGCGTTCCTCCGGTCCAACTTCACGCCGAACTGCTTCTCCACGGCCTCCAGGGCCGTGGCGTCCAGCATCTGGCGGAAGCGCTCGTGGCGCCGGGCCAGCGCGATCGCGTCTGGGTGGAAGACCACGTCATAGACGGTGTAGCGGCTGCCGCGCCCCCCCGCGTACTCACGGCCGGGGGCCAGGCTGTAGGGCAGGGACCACTGGCTGCCGGACACCACGCCCCCAGAGCCGGGCTGGCTGCTGGGCGCGCCCACCAGCGCGTTGCTGCACACGTTCACGAAGCAGCGCCGGGTCCCGTCCAGGCTGGTGCGCAATACGTGGCCCGGCTCCGGGTGCACGAACCGCACCTCCACTCCGCGCTCACGCTCTAGCGCCGTGATCTCCTCTTCGTAGCGCCGCCGGTTCTCAGGGTCTGTGAGCTCCTCGGCGTACTCGGAGAACATTCGCCGGAACTCCGGGTCCTGGAAGGCGGAGGTGAGCCGCTGGACCTCCTCTCCACTCAGATCCAAGTCTTCTAGCGGCGAAGAGGCTGCCGCCTTGGCCATGCTGCCCTTCGGCTCCTTGCGTGGAGGCCAAGGGAGATGTATGTATCTGAGACCTAGTGGGTGGGACGCGCGGTGAAATCACTATTCTGCGGAGGGTGAGGCGGCGGCGGTCAGTAACCGCTTCAGAATTGAGCCTGGGCGGCGCGTGCTCGTTGCCATAGTGACACCACCAACACCCAGGAGGAGGGGCAGGAACAGGGAGATGGAAATGACAGAAATAGCCTTAGTTTCTTCAGACCAACATCCTACGTTGTTTAGATTCCTGGGCCATCGTACAGTTACCTTTGCAGAATAAACACCTTAATAACTGTAATTTCCAGCATTATGTACGTTATTCGTTGTTAAGAACCCTTCAAGGTAGACCTGATCCTCAATTCACAGATGAGAAGGTGAGACCTGAAAAGTTACCTCACCAAAGTCACACAGTCGATCCACCACCCAGCAGTCACAAACTGATTCTACCATAAGTTTTTCTGCTTTATTCACTTCGCTAAACCAACATTTCAGTCGTCTAGATAGTTCACCAATTTACCCTATTTACAACTCTCATTTGGTGTGAGAGTTATGCGCAGGTTATTCATAAATAACCAATCATCAGTAAACAAGACTTTGTGGTCTTATATTTGCATTTTTATTATTAACAAAGTCATGTTTACTGATGATTGGTTAAAGGCTTTCTTTACAAAAACAATTACTCTATTTCCTTGGGGTGACAGAATTTATATTAAAATTTTTCTAGAAAGTAGTTTGGTACCTATGTCAAAAGCCTTTAGAATGTGCATACTTTTTTTAATGCAGAAATTCCAATTCTGAGATCATACTCAAGGCACTATTATGATTCTAAAGGTTTGGGAAGAATCTAAGAATTCAACAGCGGGACTGGTTGAGCAGATTTGGATAGAGCCATACAATGGGATTCTAAGCAGCCATTCAAATTGATATTATAGAAGAATATTTACTGACTGAGGTAGTTATTAATTGCTGCTGCTACTGCTGAGTCGCTTCAATCGTGTCCAACTCTGTGCGACCCCATAGACGGCAGCCCACCAGGCTCCCCCGTCCCTGGGATTCTCCAGGCAAGAACACTGGAGTGGGTTGCCATTTCCAAGTTATTAATTGGTAGTTGTTAAATTCAGTGGTCATTTTTCTGTCCTCGTTTTGACAGCCTCAGCAACATTTAACATAATGTTGGCATTACCTCAATGACAAGACACTATCCAGGTTTTCCTCCTACCTCATCAGATACAGGTCCTGTGGTTTCCCCACACAGAGACCAAGTGTTGGCTTTTTCCACAGCACAGAAATCTCAGCCCACTCCCCTCTTGTGTGATCTACCTGGCCTCTTAAGGCATAATGTCACATGAAAGTGCTTTAGACCCAGATTTCTGAGGTGAGGTCAGCCATGTTGATTAACCACCAAGTGGGGGAGCGCACCACCTGTTGTTCCTCAGCAGTATTAGCTCTGGGTACTCCTGCCGTACTGTTCGTCTGCTACCCCATTTTTCGGATCTATGCTTCCTTTTAATTTCCAGACAATGTCCACCACTAACTGGTTCTAATTCCTGTCTTATTCTAATAATTATAATTCTGCTAATTATAATTCTAATAATTATAATTAACTGCTCTGCTTTGACTTTCTTCACCTTGCTAACCCCTAAATGCACCCTGTATTTCTAGGCATTAAATGTGTTCCTAAAGAAATCTTTCATGTTTAGCTCTATGGTTCTTGAAACTAGACCAACAATCTGGCAGTGTCTATTTCAGTACCACTTTCAAGGCCTAGATTGTAAATTTTTCCAAGTAATCTAGTAGCTTTGGGAATTATGCCTTGATTTCACTTTTAATCAAAATTTCCAGGCTATTCTTGAGATTAAAGCTCAATTTTGCTCTTTTAACATCAGGTCTTTTCTAATATTTTGAAAATTTACATCCTCAAACCATATCTCAAATTGCCACTCTATCCTTAACCACAATTCGCAATATCACAATATTCAGATTAAATTTCTTGAGGAATTTCCTTCAGTGTCATATTAGTTTTTTTATTAGTATCTCTTCCCCCAAAAGCTAAGTTTCTTTGAAAGAAGGGTATTCCATTCCAAGTTGTCTATAATATTAAGATTATTCCTACGTTTGAAACACTCTTTGTACCTTTAACAGTGTCCTATCACTCAGATTCATTTCTGGGCTTTCATTGTAGTTCCCGCCATAAACTAAAAGATAAGGGGATGGTGTTGGTGTTATGCCCAAAATAGAAAAACAGGGCTGCTTCAAAGTGAATATTACTCCTCTTAAAGGTAAAAACTGTGGGGACAATGTTTTTAAATTTTCAGTGCCAAAAGGTAATGTAATGAATATCTCAGTAATATCCTGAAACAACGGTTTTTCACTATCATTAGAATAAATTCTATGACTTGAAATTTAAACAATTTGAAATTATTAAATACGCCATTAAGACTCTTATGGTGAACAATTAGCATGTGAATTGTTCAGTCGCTCCCACACCAGGCTCCCCTGACCTTCACTACCTCCTGGAGTTTGCTCAAATTCATATCCAAGCATATAACTAGTATAGGAATAATGAAATTTAAATTTTTATATACAAATGTATACTTAGATTATGTATTTTTACACATTTTCATATTTTCCTTACGATTATACAGAAAATATTTTTCCTATGAAACTTTGTAAAGTATACCATTATGTTTATAAAAAAAATTTATAAATAGAAATTTAAACAAGACATTCTAAAGTTTACCATAATTTTATTATAATTTAATAACAAAATTATATAAAATAAGCAGATAATTGATGAATTCTGTTTCTTCAGATGGTCTAAGAATCTCAAAACCCTTGAAGTTTGCTGAAAATAGAAAATAATCATAAAATTAAACATCTTGGAAAGCTAAGTTATACATTTCTTAATATCTAGTTTTAATTTTAAAAATAGGTCAATACATGCACATTGCTCCAAATTCCAAAGGGGACACAGTGGAAAATAAGTCTGTCTCACTCTATTTCTGTTCTCTAGAAGCAACAGTTATATCGTTACAAAGACTGTCTAATCATATATAAAGGACTGTCTAATCGCATATAAGCATGTGTAGGGATAAATGCTTTAAAAACACAAACAAAAGTGGTAGAATACATGAACACTATTCTATGCCTTTTTTTCAATTAGTAATAAATACACAATATATTTATAATTTTAACTAATCCTTTATGGCTTTGAAATTAATGTAAATTAGAAAAGTCAGAATATAACTTTTAGATAGGTATATATTTAAACTATTTGCTTTGCTGTTATAAAAACTACAGTAAAAACAGCTGTACCCACTTTTATGCATAAACCCAAGTATACCTGTAGGATAAATTCCAGGAAATGAAATAGATGGTATATGCAGTTGAGGTCTTAAGAAATCTTATTCAGTTGCCCTCTGTAGAGGTTTTTTGTTTGTTTGTTTGTTTTTTACCATTTTTATTCTGACCAACTATTGTGTGAGAGTGGGTGTTTCTCTTGTACATCACTAACATTATGTTTTTAAATAAAACAACTACATTTGAAAGCACATGTTGAAACAGGGTTAACCTCAGTCCACTTTGGCTCCATTTCTGTGTTAACTCTTAAAATATGATTTCACAAATATTCTAAGAAAAAAATTATTTTTAGGAGAAACTAAGTGTTATGTATAAATATAAGTTATTTCACTAAATTAGTTATTTCACAAAATTATTTCACTGTATCATAAAAATTTTTTCTCTCAAAAAAAGGAAAAAGCATACATCAACTTGTTTGATCTAGCACTGAAAAAATTACTCAAATTATCACTACTAAATTATAGTTTGGAAATTAGATCAAGGGTTTTAGTATCTGACTCCACAGATGATAAATGGACCAACTATGTCAACAATAGTCAATATCAATTGCAAGTCAAGGCCTGTGCTAGAAACTTTAAGAGGGACTGGCACATAAGTGACTTCTCATTCAGCATGTTAAGAACTGTCATTGAAGTCTGTATACAGTACTTAAAACACTAAACAATTCTGCATGTCATTCAGGAAATGTTATAAGATTTAACTGAAGTGTCCTGTAGCCATCATAATTAATAAATCAGTTAAATCCTATTGTGGTTTTTCTACCTCTAGAATATTAAATGGTTTGCTAAGATAGATATAATAAAAGGATAAAAGTTAAGGAAAGAAGGACACTCAGGTAAGAGAAAAATACAGATAAAAAAAGATAAGGCCAGAGCCACAGCCAACATTTATACTAGTAATTCCTGCTGCTGTAGAGGTGGACGGAACATTTGGCTGTGCTCCTGGCAGCTAAAGCAAAGGGAGTCTATCAGATTTACAGTTTTCCCAAGATGGAAATGAACAGTTGCTTGGGACAGGCACAGATTTCTTTTGTTCTGAGACCTGTTGAAAGTGCTCACTATTGGTTTTCATAGCAGAATAAGTTTCATATGTCTGTTAATTTACAAAACTCAGTTCAGTAAAAGTCAATCTAAAGGTGGACAAAACAGAATTCCCTGGTGGTCCAGTGGTTAGGACTCTGCACGTTCACTGACGAGGTCATGGGTTTGATCTCTGGTTTGGGAACTAAGATCCTGAAATCTGGCATGGTGCAGCCAAAGACTATTTTGAAAGATGGACAAAATATGCTTCAGAGGTAGCTTAACCCTGGGGTCACAAAATGACTGTCAACAGGGAGTAGTTAAGACAGGGTAAGAGTGTTTGCCCTTACCTAAAGGCATTCCAAATTTAAAAAAAAAAATTTCTTTAAGGATTCATTGTTAACTAAAGTCAAACACATGTTCAGTTTATGGAACAGAGGCTAGAATATCAGTGACTTTTATGAGTATCTGCCTGGTTATACTCTGAAAACTAAGCAATGCCTGGAATACAGTAAGAATCAAATACATGTCAAATGAGTGAATCCAATAATAAAATTTAGTATGTCCCAAAATGAACAGACTTTAATCTTCCGTGAATACTGAGCAGCAAAGATAATGCAAACAATATTTTTCAAGAAATATATATGAGAAACTATTAATCATGATTTCAGGGTTACGAAGTAAAGGTATGTTTTCTTTATTTTATACTTTTAAGCATTGTTTGAAATTTTTATCATGTATTTGTGCTTTTATTTAAATAAATTTGTTAATTTCAAAAAGTAAAAAAAGGTTGAGTGTCAAGAGTATATTCTTTAACGAGAACCTGGAGGTATTTGGTTACTGCTCTAAACTGGTGGGAAACAAAATACAATTAATGGAGAAATCACATGTTAGGATGCCTGCATCTAAGGGAAACTGTTAAAAATGCACATTTCTGGGTGCTACAACTGGAGAGACATTTAATAATGTTGGGGTGGGATCTTGTAATTTAACACTTTTAACATGGACCTCAGAGGCTTCTCATGCATTGGTCTATAGGACACCCCCTGAAAACTACTACCCACCAGGTAATTATTCTTTTTTCCTCAGGACCTCCCAACACCAACAATTCTTTCCTACCCATTTAAGGCAGATTACCTGGGTTTTGAGTGGCTCAGCTGGTAAAGAATCCGTGTGCAATACAGGAGACCTGGGATTGACCCCTGGGTTTGGAAGAGCCCCTGGAGAAGGGAAAGGCTACCCACCCCGCCCCTGCCCGCCCACCCCCCCCCCCACAAGTATTCTGGCCTGAAGAATTCCATGGACTGTACAGTCCATGGGGTCTCAAAGAGTCAGACATGATTGAGGGACTTTCACATGTGGAAGGAAAGCCTGCCCTTTCGGAATAATAACCTCATCATGAGTCAGCCTGTAAAAGAACTAGCCCAGCCCTACAGCCAATCTGAGATTTCCCGCAGAAAACAGTTCTTGGTCTATTTCATACAAATGTGCCATCAAGTACATACAATTCTGTGTCACACAGCATGAACACAATAAGTTCAGCCTAGAACATTGCCAATGAGCTACTGTAGTCAATTTTTAAAAACCTCGGCACACCTTCAGAACATCTGATTTTTAGCAGTATTATGCCAAGAGACAGCTGTTTATGAAGGCACACTTACCTATCTTCTACTATCTTATTGGAAGGATAAAAAACTTTGAATGAAAATCCACTTCTTGGAAAAGAGCCCTTTGGAGAGAAAAATGCCCATAAGTGAATACTCAACTTTTGAAAAAAAAGAACCCCTATTTTTAAAATCAAATTCCTTGCTCGTGGCTTAAAGATGAAGGTATAAGATGTGACTATAAAGTAATGAGACAAATTTCTGCATGCTCTTTGTAGAGCAAAAATATTACTATAAAGTATCTCCACTAGAAGGAAAAAGTAAAGTTGACCAGAACAGTCATGCTAAAAAATGTGGCCAGAAATGCTTAGGAGTGGGTCTACTTAGTATAAGAAATAAGCAGTACTGAATGATGCTTAGTAAGCATATAAGACACTCAAAACACCATGTTCGATAAATCTTTCCTGCCCCTCTCCGCAGTGCAAGTCTGGGATTGATGCCCCACCATGGTCCCCTCAAAGCAACAGAGCAGGGTCACATATACAACTGTCCATTACTAAACTCTAAATAAAGCAGACTCTTGTCTTTTCAATCTTTGTGTCCCTGGCACTAGCTCAATACGTGGCCTATTGCAAACCTTCATTAATGTGAATAAGTATCAAGAAAGGATGAAACAATGTCAAAACCAAGTTTTGGGGACTTCTCTGGTGGTCCAGTGGTTAAGAATCCGCCTGCTAATGCAGGAGACGTGGGTTCGGTCCTTGCTCCTGAAAGATGCCACATGCTGCAGGGGACTAAGCCCATGTACCACAACTGCTGAGCCTGTGCCCTAGAGCCTAGTCGCCGCCGCTGCTGGAGCCCGCTCACCCCAGAGCCCGTGCTCGGCAGCAAGAGGCGCCCCTGCAGTGAGAAGTCCATGCGCTGCAACTGGAGCATAATAGCCCCTGTTCGCCAAACTAGAGACAGCCCACATGCAGCACCAAAGAACCAGTGCAGCCAAAAACAAATAAAATTCTTTACAGAAAGTTAAAAAAAAAGTTTTGGTCTTGTCCACGAAGGTATAAATAAGGTAAAAAAAAGATAAAATGATGGTGTAGGAAATGGTGGTTTACTCATTTACAAGATGAAAAAGAAAAATTCAGAAATAAAGTGTTTTCAAATACAGCATTAACTATGTGAACACCCAACGAGTTCAGTTTAAATAAGGAAATAGCCTCATTATGACAAGAATATTGAAATATGAATAAAGATTCTGTAAAAATTAGGCCACACATTACAAAAACAATGAAACCAAATCAATTGTGTGCATCCTTATAGCAGTAGTTCCCAACCAGGGTCAGTTCTGTTCCTTAGAGACATTTGGCAAATACCTGAGGACATTGTCAACTGTTAAAACTGGGGGCTGCTACTGGCATCTAATGGGTGGAAGTCAGGGATGCTGCTAAACACCCTGAAATGAACAGGACAGTGCCCCAAAACAGAATTATCTGGTTCGAAATGTGAATAGTTCTGTGGTTGAGGAAGCTGGACAAAATAAATGTGTAAGAAAAGCAGTAAGGATGATATTTCTAAAAGTGACCTAGATTTAAAAAAAAAAGAACCAAAAAATTAAAGTCTAAAATTCATAAGAATCAAGGAAACATACATATTAAAAATCACTAGTGAAGATACTTGATATAAATAGCAACATTTATGCAGCATTTAACCCCCAAGTTCAAAAAGTCAATTATATTTTTACAGAAATTCAGAAGCAACTTCAGGATTCTGAAGCATTTCAAGGTTCTGCATAAAAATGAAATATTAAAATGTGTCCCAATAAGAATTTCAACATTCATCAGGCTTAGATTTTGGAGACCCGGACAATTTCTAAAAAAAAAAAAATCCCTCTCAATGGACAAGTACCATTAATATGTGTACAGAGAACAGGATACATGCTCTGAAAGTAATTTCCAGAAAGGAATCCCAAGGCAAGTTACTTTGAAGGGGAAAATACTTATTTGGATTTATAATGGTGCCTTTTTTTTTTAAGACTTAAGTCCATTACTTTATAGTCACATGTTCTTTTGAAAGTTTAATAACTTTCTCTTTATACCAAATTAATTCCGTTATTTCATTGATAATATGTTTTTACTCCAACAGTAACTGATTAAACATATACTTCAAAGAAGTAACACTCTAATCTTGACAAATTATGATACATAATGTTAACTACGTTCTTACAGGGTTTATGCAGAGGCATTCGGTATTGGTCAAAGTAAAAGGATCATATTTGTCTGCGATGACAAGCAGGTCAGGCACAGGGTACACCCTCAGAGCATAGTCATACGCCCAATACACTGGGCAGACATAAAGAGGGAGAGGAGTCAGGTGTCCTTGGGATAAGACAGTCTTTACAAACTACAAAAGAAAACACAAAACAAACCAGTGCATTTGTAAAAGCTAAAAGAGCAACAGAGGATTTCAAATTAAATACCGATTACCAAAGAGACTTAGAAAATTTGAGAAACATTTGGGAAAACTGAATCCCAGAGCTTTGGGAACACTGATATGAAATTATCCTGTATTTTAGGAGAAATTTATGAGTTTTCATTTAATACTATAAAAGCTACTTCCCCAAAGAGTCATTTTGGAGCAGTTATATTTTTAGCTGTACAATAAACTCATTTCCTAATTCTGTTCATTTAAAAATAATTCCACAGCTTGGGTAATGCCAAGAATATATACTTGACCTACATACACATTAAAGGTTATAAAATACATACTAAAAATGCTGTGTATGATCTATTTCCATACTTCCAAATGAGGATACATGTAACCAGTGATTGACAGCTGTATGTCAGGGAATCTCAATAAACACCACATCTTCCTAATGTGGGCATATCATAGGAAATATTTAATAAACATGATTAAAAACACATTTTCCTTAAATATATGTAAAAGTACAATGTAAGATTTGTGAGTTCTAAAGGCAAAATGGGAAGCTCCAAAGAAATTTCCTGCTTGTTCTGGGCTTTCTTCTGTCTATTAGGGGATACCTCAATAAGAAAACTGAGAAACACTGATTTAGGGAACAAAAATTATCTTACTGACAAAAGTGTGTTGAAATTATTTTGAACTATAAACAAAAAACAAAAGGGCAACTGATTAAGTGACTTAAAATTTTATATAAAGTCACATGTAAGATACCTTAATAAAGAAGATGTTTAACTTACATGATTAGGAATATCCAAATTGCTACTGGGAAAACGGACGCAGTTTCTGCACATTTTATTCACTAAGTCTTCACGAAAGACAATAATTTCTTGTGTACAATACTGAATTCTGAAATGAAAATGGTAGTTGAATGTGACTTCCTCTGAAAAAAATATAATGTAATTTTAAAGGCAAGATATTTTATAATATATTCCCACTTCAAATTCAACCATAATCTATCCATCCATGCATTTGACAGTAATTTATTGAGCTCTCAATATATGTCTAGCATTACTCTAGGGATGAGTGAACAAAACAAAAAGACCCCAGCCCCAATGCAGTTCATTCTACTGGGGGTGGGCGTTCAGAGACAATAAACAACAGATATGAAAACTAATAGTATGCTGAGAGATGAGTAAGTGTATGGCAAAAAGAAGAAGACTAACAGGGATCATGTGCAGGAAGGGAAGGTCAAAGGCTGGAGTATTTAACGGGAGGACCGGAACAGGTGGGACCCATAATGAAGTTTGATCTGAGCACAGAGTTGAAGGAAGTGAGAGTCATGCAGACATGCAGAGGCAGGCGGAGGGAACAGACAGAGCAGAGGCCCTAGGATGAACCAGGCCTGGCACATCTGAAGAACAAAAGGGGGCTGGGGTGGCTGGACTAAAAGAGGAGGAGAAGAAATCACAGAGCAGACGGGGCCAGGTCTCGCAGGCCATGACCACCACTGCATAGCATATGGGCTGTTACCAAATAGAACGATGGGTCCATCTTTCTGAATCTGTAAGGGCAGTGTGATATGCCTTCTGGTTTAAAGGATCACGCTGACATGGTCGAGGGCAGACTACAGAGGAGCAGGAGTAGAAGCTAGAGACCAGTGAGGAGGCTATTACAGCAGTCAAGGCTAGAGAAGATGGTAGAGGATCATAGAGGGGGAGGTATAGAGAGATGGCCAGACTCTGGATATAAATGTTTGAAGTCCTCCTTCAGATTTTTGAAGGACTTTCTAAAAGCCTGCATGTGAGGAGAAACCCCGAAGGTTGGCCTGAATGAATGGAAGGATAAAGGTGTCATGAACTACAATGAGGAAAGCTACGGACAGGGTGGGGCTGATGGGGGAAGAAGATTAGCATTTCTGTTTGAAGTTGTTTATTAGACATCCATGGGGAGATGATGTGTAGGCAACTGAATATGTACATCTGGAGTCAGGGAGAAGGTTTGAGGTGGAGATATCAACGCGGGACTTGTCAATACATAGAGGATATTTAAAGCTCATGGACTGGATAAAGTCACTGAAGGAGTGAATGTAGGTAGAAAAGAGAGGGAACCAAAGACTGAAAGCATTCCCTCCGTAAGAACCTATGGTCACCGTGGCACATACAGTAAATGCGTAATCCTTCCATCCTTCCATTGTAACTTTTCTTAAAGGATGTATAATCGGAATATCTATTTTAAAATCTCCATCCATTATTAAGTTTCTAAATTCAATGTTAGTGAATTATTTAAATATAGTTAAAGTATTGTTAAAGTTTTGAGAAACCTAAAATAAAGAGAAATTTTCTTTTTACTCGATGACAATCAAAATCTAGAGACAAATTTTAAGAAATAGGTTAATTTTTAAATGAAAGGTAAGAAAAAACACGATATAAAATATTAATATTTACCTGCAAGGATTAGTAGTAAAAACTGAAAATGGTACTCTTTGCCTGAATTCATTAGTGATGCTTTCAGCAAATGGTGGCCTATAAATACAATTAAGGTGATACAGTATATATGTTTTAGTTTACAGAGTTTTCTTTACTGTTGCAAATATCTGAATAAAACTTACCTTGGTAAGATGGAACCAAATCCAGGATCCTCTGGGCCAGGTACAAACACAAAACGACTACTGTAGCAAAATGCAACATAATTCATTCTAAAAATATTATTATACCACTACCCAATAGTCTAAAACCAAGTTATTGCCTTTAATTAAATTATAAAATTTTTCAATTAAATTTCATACATTTTAATAAATGAACTAATAAAATTCTCTAGACCGATATCATCCAATAGATCTTTTTTTGCAATGATGGAAATGTTCTATATCTGTACTGTCTAATTACTGAGTACCTGAACTGTGGCTAGTATGACTGAATTTTTTTTTTTTTAGTTTTTTAATTTTAGGCTGCACTGCCAGGTTTATAGGGTTCTTTTAGTTCCCTGACCAGGGATTGAACCTGGACCCCTCCTCAGTGAAAGCACAGAGTCCTAACCAATGGACCACCAGGGAATTCCTTTAAATGATATAGCTTTAAATTTAGAGAGATCCATGCGGCCAGCGACTGTCATATTGAAGAGTATAGTTCTAGACCCTTAGAGTAATAATGTCACCAAGAAATTTGGATTATGGTTGAAATTATTACTCTTCCATTTAATACTTTTTGATATAAATCTCTACTAGAATGTAACATATATTACTGTGACAGAAGGATAATTTTATCTTCCAGCTATACTAATTTTCTCAACTTTTTCTTCCACTCACTTCTTAAATTAGGATTTATTTTTGTTTCTCAAATAACTCTTTAAATGAAAAAATATAGCAATAGAAATCATTACCTTTGATGAATATTTGGGTATTCACATATTATATCTGCCAAAGTTTTTAGGGAATCTAAAATTTTAAAGGGATATTGAATTTAATTTGCATATGATATACATAAATCAAATTTTATTTGATCAGATAGAACTCTACATATTATGACTAAATTTAAATTAATATAGATTATTTCTTATCAACTTAGTTTATATAAATGTAGGAACACTTATTAAATAGATCCTCAATACCTTTCAAAGCTTGAACTTGATTTTTTCCATATGGTGCAGATGAAAAATTACCACACAGAATAAAGCAGGTTGGAGGTGCTGGTGAGTAACCTAAAAATAAAAGAATAAATGAACATCACTTTTCTGGTTTAGAAATCATATTAAAATCTTTTAGCCATGAGCTTTTTTTTTCTTAGCCATGAGTTTTTAATAATAAAACCTTATTGTCTAAAAGCAATACCTTATTTTAGTAACAACTTATTATAAAAAATAGTAATAATAGTGCCCATTTATTGAGCACTTATTTTGTGCCAGGCCCTGCAAAGGCTTGATTAGTCCTCACAACATCCCTCTAAACTGAGAAAGAGATTAAGTAACCTGCCCAAAGTATTAGGCTGCAGTTTAAACCCAGTTCTGTCAAACTCCAAAGCCTAAGCTGTTATCCACTCTTGTACTGTTTTAGGACTAATTCGTATTTATCATGAACACACACATACAGTTATTTTTCAAATGTAAAAATGTAACTCTTTAAGATGAACTCATTTAAAATATTTCACGGCTGAATCAACTTTAACAAAAATAGACTACTCAAAAAGATACATTTTTTAAAAAAGAATTTCGTTTTAAGACATGAGCTCTCATAAAAAAGAATAGAAAAAAATGACACCTACCAGAAAACATGATGTGAAGTTTTTCCAATACTTCTACTTGGTCCAACCAAACATCAGATATAAACACAAACATGGCATCTTTATTCTCATCCTCTAGTTGTTTTAGTTTTGCAGAAGTCTTCACAGATGTATTAGAAGGCCCTCCGAAAAAATTAATATTTCCATAGTATGCCCTAGGTAATTATAACACAATTATTACCTTCTATCCTATATTCTATTGAAGATATTTTTCTGCTAATTCTACAAATTAAGCTTCTGTCTATCTAATGAGGTTATTTTCCCATCAATGTAAATTGTACCATGAAACTGTATTATCTGTATCACTTAAAAAGCAAACAAGTTTATTTAAACATTCTAAAATGAGAAAGGAAGCAACACTGAGGCAGTAAACAAAGTAAGATAAGTAAACTATATCTGGACCTTTTAAAACTTTCTAAAGCAAATATTAAAATAAATCATAATGTCCTTATATAGTTGAAAGTAGGAGACATAGGTACTCAATTTGAATAATAACTAATACAAGTCTCAAAAAGAAGTGCTAGCCATTTGACCAAGCAATTTCACTTCTAGATATCTGTTCTAAGAATTTAAGGATGTCTACAAAGACTTATCTATATCCCAGAACTGTGAAAATCTGGAAGGAACACTAAAGCTTGCCCCAAACGGAAACTGGAGTGATCTTCTGCACTCCCAGCCTCCACTGCTCTTGCCACCTACCCTTCACCGGCTGCCGTTCTACAGTCCTCAGTTTAAATGTTGAATACTGTCCCAGAGGACCGCCCCTTGAGGATCCCAAAAGAGGTCAGACTTCCCCACTACACACACTTGGAGGACCCTGCACTTCTCTTTCATAGAACTCATCAAATTTGTAATCAGCAAGTTACTTGGGTGATGTGTAATGTCTATCTCCCTAATCCAACACCTAGCACAGAGTCTGGCAATATAGTATGTGCTTAAAGTACATTGCTGAATGTCACAAACCATGTAATAAATTTCATGGTAATGGAAAATGTTGAATATTATTAAATGATGAAGCAGGTTACAAAGCATTGTACAGTATATATTCATTTTCAGCATCCAAAAAAAGTGAATAGATATAAAACCTATATATTCTTATTAAGTCACTGTAATTATATCCTATAAAGTCACTGCAAACACTGCCTTAGGGAATACTGAACCTTTCTCTTAAGGAAAATGTGTACTGGTATCAGACAGATTGTAATATTAAATCATTAAAAAAAAACACCTCATCTTGGTAGATTCTATTTTTCTACACTTGATCTTAGCCCAAAGGCCGAGAAGCGATCTATTTTTCTTTATCTTACAAAAGAGAAAGCAAGGTTCAGATTTAGAAGTGTTAAGTGACGTGCCTGAGGCCATCCCAATAACAGGTGACAGTGTTAGGTTTTAATCTTGCAGCTATCAGAGGAATGAAATAAGATGATACAGATGATTTCAGTTATATACTCAGACATAAACCAGAACATTACAAACAGAAATACCTATTAGGCTGATTCTTGAGAAATTAAAGCTTAAAAAAGCCTCAGTAACATCTTCCATCCTTGGTTCATGGAATGTAAGGTACAAAGACAGGAGCAAGAGGAAGGCTGTTTTCCCAAGAAATGATCTAGGAATTCTAGGAACTTTAACAATGCATCAGGCTCAGAAAACATAGTCACATGTCTTGTACCAGTGAAAAAGAGCAACATGGCAATGGAATCCCAGCAAATCTGTACTTTAATTTAGAGAAAGTGGGACAATTTAAATAAAAGATTATTTGAGACATTACAAAGATGAATGCTTGGCTAAACTGAAACGAATGGTAACACTCAAGGCCAGCTTCCTTGATTATACCTCTCATTCGAAAGAGTAATTTTGAGGCCTGTATGAAACTATAACACCAAGACAACAGCAATTATGCTTTCAATATAGCCCCAAGAAACCCTACCATGATGTAAGCCTAGCCACAAACTAGCACTAAAAGCACTCACTTAAAAGTAAACTGGCTTGATGCGGGCTTGTATTCTCTGTGGCATGACCAGCACTTTACCCTGGATTTACTTCACCATGAAGATGCACAGCAAAAGCTGCCTGCCAGTGACTCCCCACCAGCAAACGTGGCCTTGGCACCTGATTTATAACAGCAGACTGGACCTAAAATCTTAATCATCAGACTTCTTGAAATCATCACCATCATCATGGAATCTCAGGATTAAAATGCAACTACTTTAATTACCCCAGATGCCTAGAGGCTCCAGGAAGCTAATACTAAATATCAAAGCAGCAGCCAGCTGAGGCTGACTAGGTGTGAATGACAGTGCATACATTTATCCTGCCCAAAGTGAGCCATCACCGAAGATGTTCCAGGTGAGAATTCAGGTGCAAAGTACTGCCAGAACTGATTGTTCAAGATAACTCAGAAATCTCCTAATTTTCAAATATTGAACACTAATTCAAAATATGCTTAAATACCTCCAAGGGGAAACAAGAAATGTCTATAGACTACATTCAACCCACAGGCCACCGGCTACAACTTTCACACCATTATTCAGCCTCTGTCAAATTCCTTGAGTGACAGGGAATTCACTCCTCTCAGAGAAGGTCCTTTTGGAACCCCTCTAATATTATAATGATTTTGCACATATTAAATAACTATATAATCTGCCTCTTATAGCTTTTACTCAGTAAAATACAAAAGTAAGAACTTTATATTAACATGGGAATTACATTCTTGTTTTCCTATCTCTTGTCTCAGTCCTGTAGATAAATAAGACCAATGGGTTGGAAATCTTTCCCAGTGAAAGCCAAATACAAAGATGCTATTGCAACCAGTCTGGAGTCAACCCACTAGTTTTCAGTTTCATATAAAGTCCAGTCTTTTAACTCTCATTTTCCATTGCTCTTCACCTTCTAACACAAAGTCTGAGGACTTGTAATAATTGACACGTGATATACTATCTTACATTTATTACTGCCAGTATTCTAAAACTTCTATAGAGTTTAAGTGAAACATTTTTATACCTAGTAGTACTAGAGGGTTCAGTGGGTGGAAATCCAAAGGCATTGACATGAAACACCTGATCTTCAAACCAACCTGAAAAACAGATAAGTAACAAATCACTTTTATTTGTCCAATTTTCTTGTTTGAAAGGACAAAACTGTGGCATATAAATCAGTAATGCTAGGCCATCGTTAATCCCCGGTCAACTAACTACAGAATTCACCAGTCCCACTGAACTACAGAACAGTTTCAGGTTCAGAGACAGTCTCAGTTCTTTTTTTGTTTTTTATTTTTGGCCACACCATGTGACTTGCAAGATCTTAGTTCCCTGACCAAGGATGGAACCTGGAGCCATGGAAGTGAACGTGCCGAGTGCTAACCACTGGACCACCAGAGAATTCCTGATAGTCCCAGATCTATTTAAAAAAAAAAAAAGTCATGAAACTGTAATAGATTTAGAAGTAAAACTTTTCCCTTTCTTATTTCACAGTACATGTTAGAGTACAGATAGATAAGGTACACAGATAAAAATGTTTCTTTTTTTTTAACATTTATTTTTTATTGGAGTATAATTATATAACAAAGTATACAACAGAGTAAATCAGCTAAATGTATCCATACATCCACTCTCTCTCAAGCCTCCCTCCCCCTCCCTCCCCTCTAGGACATCACAGAGCTTCAAGCTGAGCTCCCTGTAATACACAGGAGCTTCTCACAGCTATCTGCTTTACACTTGGTAGTGTATCTAGGTCAATCCTGCTCTCCCAAGCGGTCCCACCCTCCCCTTTCCCCCATGTATCCACAAGGCCATTCTCTACATCTGCATAAAAATGTCTCGTTTTATGACTCTACCTGCAATCTTTTTTTCTTTTAACTTCACTGAGATATAATTCACTCGTCATACAACCCTTTAAAAGTGTATACCTCAGGACTTCCCTGGTGGCCCAGTGGTTAAGAAGCCACCTTGAAATGCAGGGAACACAGGTTTGATCCCTGGTCTGGCAAGATTCCCACATGCTGCAGGGCAACTAAGCTCCTTTGCCATAACCACTGAGCCTGCTCTCTAGAGCCGGGAGCCGCAACTACTGAAGCCCGCACACCCTACAGCCCATGCTCTGCAACAGAAGCCACCGCAATGAGAAGCCCATGACTCAAAACTAAAGGGTATCCCCCACTTGCCACAACTAGAGAAAGCCCACGCATAGCAACAAAGACCCAGCGCAGCCAAAAATAAGTAAATCAATAAAAATAAATTAAAAGTGCATACCTCAGTAGCTTTTAGTCTGTTCACAATTTGTACAACCATCAGTACTAATTTCAGAATATTTTCATCATCCCACAAACCCTGTGCCCACTAGAAGTCTGAGAGTTACATAATGTCAAAAGTATGCTCTGATAATCAATATTCCCCTGAGTTACACTGTTAATGTATTTTAACCAATGTAGAAAGGGTTTTACTATAGAATGATTAGGACAGGGGGAAAAAAAAAACTAACTTACCCTCTGCTAAGACAAAGCATGATTCTGTATATAAACCATTATGGAACTGGTATACAGTAGTTAAGGAAAATAATTCTATTTCTATGGTTGAGGTGGTGATAAAGTCAATATACATTTTGGACGTTACACTAAGTATCCAAATAGGTAAATTTGAAAATGATATCTAATCAATTTCCCCAATTCATTTAACACAGATTTAAAAAAAATAAAAGTGAAGGATATAGCTTTACTGAGATCCAGTTGTATTGTTCCTGTAGGGTCTTCCAGAAAAAATTTTCCCTAAAAAAAATTAAAAGAAATATGTCCACATTTATGTAAAAATGAATATTATGGTAAAATAATTAAGATACTGGCAATTTTGACAACAGAATATAGTAGAGAGTACCATGGATTTTTTAAAAAATCAAAAAAAATAAAATAAAAAATCAGTAATTCCAAGTCTAGGCTTTTCCATCACTTAATTGAGACTCAGAGTCCTCAGAGATAGCAAACAATGACTACTGCTGATCAAGAGATGGCAGCAGGGACATTTGCTGGCTGCCACAAGAGGGACCTCACCAGGTGCCTTCACCTAAGATAGCCAACAGCATCTCCCAGGGAGCAGGATGTGGTCTGCAGCTCTGAATGCTTAGAAACTGAGAAGTCAACCAGAGATTACTGGGGAACTAATTTCAGGCTATGCAAACTGGTGGCTTGTCTAGGACACTCTTCTCTGATGTCTACTCAGGAAACCAAATGCAAATGAAAAAGTTACTTGGTAACTGAAGTAGCTGCTTTCAAAGAAGAATACATTCCAGTGCCCTCTGTAAAAATGCTGAATTTAACTGACATTTCATCAGTCTGAAGGCTGAAAATAAAGGATGGATACTTATCAAGTTTCACTTACCTCTTTTAACTGGGTTATCATCCCAAGAACAATCACATCTCCGATTTTGCTTGTACTGCCCAATAGGGTTTCTATTGTCTTCAGCTAAAATAAACAAAATAAACTCTTAAGGACTGAAAATATGTTCCTTTAAGAAACGAATCTTTTTTTCATAAAAATAAGTAAATTTTGAGTGCACATTGCAGTATTTACACCTATTTTACAGTAGAAAATCAAAACTTAGAAAATATAATTTTATCCTACAAAAAGCTAAAATAGCAACTGATGATGTCTTGGAAGAATTACGCCTAAAAAAACACCATGTCAACACAGGCCCTTACCAATGACTGAAGTTTCATACCATATTATTTTGAATAATGATAAGTATATTTATCTTTAAAATATAGAAGAATATGAATTTTGTCAGTCTCTTCAGCACCTGTAAATTAGTGGGCTATTTAAAAAGTTATATTCTACTCTTACTTTATTTAGTATTTTGAAAGTCTGTCATTATTACTTATAGTCTCAATTTGATCATTATATTTTTACCAGAAAGTTAAACGTAGTAGTAATTGGGGGACTATTTTAAAGAAATCCTTTCTGACCCTTTTCTATACATATAATCCTAACAATATATTAATACACACATACATAATTTATAAACACATACCCATACAGTTTGTTTTAGTTGCAAAGATGAAATATTATTTGTATTATTCTTCAACTTAACTTTTTAAGTTTAATACATCTTAGACATTGTTGCATTTAACTATATTTAGATACACTTAATTCTTCTTAATGGATAGAAATATCTATAGTATATATACAACAATATACCAAACAACTTAAAGGACATAATCACAACATCCCCTAATAATCACAATAACATATGGTATTGAAGTTCTTTTTAAAAACAGGAACCTCAAGTGACACAAGAATACAATGTTCATTTTTAAACAGTTTTTAAAAAATGAAATACTTGGGAATAAATCTGAAGAAAAGACATGTATCATAAAAACTTGATTAGGTAAAAATTTCTTAGAAACAATACTAAAAATATGAGCCATGAAAAAAAAAAACTTATAAGCTATACTTCAACATAATTAAGAACTTAAGTATTTCAAAAAGACTGTTGAGAGAATAAAAAGACAACTTACAGACTGAGGAAAATATTGCAATTCACAATCAGTAAATAAAGCAACACAGGAGTACAAAGCTATAACAAAGTGAGGATACCATATTTGTAGTTTGCAAAGGTAGAACACCATACAGGGACTATAAATGGGGATTTAAATAACATACCAACAGGGATACAAAGTTAAACAGCCTGGAAAGATAACAAGAACAATAAATTATTTAGCTAAGCCTTAACGTTACTTTGGCAAAGAGGAAAGGTGAAATAATGCTTCTGGGCTGTAGGTATCTGAGTTGCTATAGGAAACCTAATATATATGAGAAAATGCATAGATAATGCTTGGTAGAGAAATATAAATAACATCAATTTCCACAACTTATTTTTTTCTGATAGCAGAACTATCAAACACTATAAATGTTTTCTCCTCATGGTGCTTCCATCAAACATTAATTTAAGCATCATCTAGTATTATTGTTTTAGTATCTATCAGACTGCTCATCATTATGAATTCTGATCTAACATGGTAGGGAACTGAATGAACCTGAGCAGAGCCTGGGCTCTTCAGAAGTTATGTGGAAACTCATAGAAACGGTGGGGCCTAGCCCGAAGGAGCTAAGGACTGTCCCCCAGCAGGGTTCCATGTGCTGAAGCAGGGAACAAAGCCACTGATGCACTGACAGTAACCAGGTATGTGGCTGGAACAAAAGTGATGGTGCTGTTTGGTAACCGCTTCCTGAAATAGAACAGCAGCAGGAGCACACATGGCAGAAAACATTCTCCCTCTCCCTAGAAGACGCCGTGGCCTGTCCGTGCCCTCTCATGCATCCTGTAAATGTGGTTTCCTTAGCGCCTTCAGTACGGTTTTCACTCCAACTGATATAATATGTCTCGGCTGAACAAGTGTGTGGTGGTCCCTAGGTGGCTAGACTGGGCAAAGAGCAGGATTTCAGAGTGGGAGTGAGGGCAAGATGGGTAATGTTGAGTGTTGGTCAGAAAGGCAGCAAATGGACCAGGAGGACTAGGGTTCTGTCCTGGTGGTGAGAGACTCTCTGGGGGCTACCAGCGTCTCAGAGCCTGCCCCAAAGAAGGAAGTAGATGATTCTGTTAGAGATTTGTAGCACCCAGGACACAAGGCATGGACTTTGCCAAGAGGGGGCACACGCAGGTCAGTTAGCTAAACAGTTATCAGTGGTTCATTTGCATTTAAAATTCAATAAATTAGAATTAAGCAACAAATATTAAGCTTGCACACTTACACCCCCTAAATAATAAGGATAACGTTCTAACCTGGAATTTGCTTCCACTTTCATCAGGGTGAGAACCTATCACTGGAGGAGTAAATAATTCATGTCTGTGGGTTCTCTAGGAAAAAGAAAAATTCACATGAATTACTGAGGCAAACCTTTAAAACAGAACGCTGTTCATTAAAATAGCACCCTGACAAACCATTGTTCTTAAATTAACATTACTATTATTTATTCTCAACAAATTTGAAAACTCACATACTTTAAAGTACAAATATCTAGAAATGCAATTTAAAAAAAAACTTTTAAAGCTTTTAAAAAAAGGTCTATTGTGTACCTGGCAGTAATGCGCCCTGGGCTGATGTGAAATGACAAACTAAAGCTGTCATCCTCAGAGGCAGGGGCCAGTGAGAAAGAAGTGTCAGTAGGTCACAATACAACCAAGGACCCTGAGAAGAAGGGGCCATTTAATAAGATTCTAAATGATAAAAAGCATTCTGCTAGTAGGAAACAGGAGACTGAGACAAGATATTTTAGGCAGAGGAAGGGCTGTGTCACAGAAGGAGTTCCAAGAGTCAAGGAGTGTTAGGGGAGTGATGTGAAGTTTAGTACAGCTGGATCACAGGTGCACAAGTCAGATAATGCAAGAGGTTGGCTGGAGTCTCTATTTGGGAAACCAGGCCCCCCATATGCGCACTGTGGTACACAAAGTTTAGGTGGGGCGGGTGCCCTTCCCCCTCCACCGACACACCACCGAGACCTAGCAAACCAAAGTACTCCATCCCCTCGGCCACTGATTGGTTCAGCGTTGAATAAGTGCCTAAAGCCACGCCAGTAAGTGACAGTTACTAGAACTTTTGAAAAAGAACTCTCTAAGAGTCAAAAAAAAAAAAAAGAAGAACTCTCTAAGAGTTACTAAGGCTACTAGTGACCACCTCTGTCACCCCATAGGGAGAATATGTTTGAAAGTAAGATGAATTTTGTAAAGTTGCTGGGAGACGGAAAGAGCTAGATGCCTCATGACATTGTGTGAGCACCTGGTTCCAGTCGTGCTTGACACAGCTGGACCTTCTCCACAAGTCAAGAAATTCCTTTGTCTGTTTTTGCCAGTTTGAGTTTCCATTACCTCTAATAAAAAAGCCCTAACAATACAGACACTGCATGCCAAACCAAGAAGTTAGTCTTACACACAATTGAAAACAACAATTTTGAAGCAGAATGGTAAAAGCAGATTTGTGTTCAGGAAGATAACTGCAATAAAAATACACATGGACTAAAATTCAACCCTTTTAAAACATGTATGTATTTATGTATTTAGCTGTGCTGCATCTGAGCTGTTGCACAGGGGACCCTGGATCTTCACTGAGGCATGCAGGATCTCCAGCTGCAGCATGCGAACTCTTAGTTGAGGCATGTAGGATCTAGTTCCCTGATCAGGGATTGAACCCGTTCCCTGCATTGGGAGTGTGGAGTCTTAGCCACTGGACCACAAGATTCAACCCTTTTAATGAGGCTCAGGAGGGTTTAGTGACACCCCCAAATAATATCACAGGCTTTAACATGTAATTTTTAAAAAGAAAGTGGTATTTACTGAGCATCTTCTCTGTGAAAAGCACTATGCCAAATGTGGCGGAGGAAATAAACAAGGAGTGTGCAGTCTGACACCAGGGCCACGCACCCCGAATGCCCAGCAGGACCCACTCCAGTAATCAACACGGGAGACACTTGCATTGTCAGTGGTTGAAAGCAGAGAGAGACTGCGTCCAACTGGAGATCGCGGAGGGCTTCGGAACACAGGAGGAATCTGAGACGGCCCTTCCAGAATGAGGAGGGTTTCAAAGTAGAGACAAGACAGAAGAGCAGCAAGAGAGTGAATAGTTTACACAAAGTCACAGAAGAAGTGAAGAAACAGAAAAATTCCACGTTTCAGTTTTGACTCCTCTACTTTTCTGAGGGAAAAAAAGTAGAGATTAGGCCAAAAATGTGTGACAGGAAGATCTGTACTTAATCCGATAAGCAGTAAACTTCCTTGAAAGACTTGTGAGCAAAATCATTACAGGATGGGTGCTGAACTTTGGGAAGAGCAATCTGGCAGCACTGTGTAGAGGACGCAGGCAGGAGAGAACAGGTGTCTTCAGGGCCCATTCTCTTCAAGTTCTGTTGAGTGCTCACTCCTGCTGACCACCCTCTCCTCCTTGAAACCTGCCTGTGCTTCTGCCGTATACCACCACCCTAACCTAGCCCCCAAACTTACCCTCTTCTCTTTTCCATCATCTCTCAGGAGCTCAGCCTCACCTGTGACTCAAGGCAGACGCCCCCTCAATCTCTCTCCCTACCCAGATCTCTTTTTTGCCCTGCAGACATGCATCTCACCTGATATCCTGCTGGCGACCTGAACTCAACTGTTTGAAATAGAACCTGCCGTCACCTTTCCCCTTCTCCTTTTCCTATTTGTTAAATTATTATCATTACGCTACCCATGGACTCGCTCAGGCTCAAAACCTTAATCATCTCTGAGTCTTGACTCTGCATTCTTGTCCAATCAGTCACCATGAAACTGTGGCTCCCATGCTCCTGGACTGTCCCCTCTTTCTGCTCCCCTTGGCTGCCTTCATTCAGGCTATCATTTATGCCAGGACTAATATCACAGACACCTACCTGTAAGTCTTCTCTCACACTCTAATTCATTCTAAAATCTGCTGAGAGAGGAAGTGTTCAAGGAATCCGCTGTAATGAGTCGCTGTGGTATTTTAAAGCTCCTTGTACCAAGAGAACAGAGTTCAACTCCCAAGAATGGCATCCAAGGCACATCCGTGATTTAGCTGCCACTTGATTTTACAGACTTATCACAGGCTACTCCTCTTCAAGAGCCTTCCCCTCCACACGAAGGACTGAGTGCTCATCATTTCTTGCACAGAGTCCACTTTACCTTTTGCTCTTTGTTCACGCTGTTCGCCACCTTTCCCCCATTTCCACAAGACCAGAGCAATCAAGGTCCCTGTCCAATGCCATCGTTTCCCTGAAGCCGTCTCTGATTTTTCTATGGAATGCATTCTTTTTGTATTTCTTCTAAAGCATGTATAAAATTCTACTCTTTATTTTATTCGTGCACGTCTTCAACTTCATAGACTATAGTGTAGAAGGCGAATGCTAGGCTCAAGTCAGACTGACTAGATTCAAATCCTCATTCTACTTACTAGATATAACCTCTGGACTAGTGACTGAACTTCTCTATGTCTCAGTTTCCCCATCCATAAAATGGGAATAATAGCATTTATACATACTGAATGTTGATATTATGATGATCAAATGATAAGCAATGTCTGTAAAGTAATAAACAATGCCTGGCATATCAAAAGCATGTGAAAAATGTTAGCTACTGTTTTTACCACCATCATGATGGTTAAAGTGTTTTTTTCATATCTGTATCCTCTATATGGTCTCAAACAGAGAGAGCCCAACAGCAGTCTACTGAAGGACAAACTTTAGCACACAAAAGGATGGACTTTTGATTATTCCGGAGTCTAACCTACGTTGAAACAGTCTCTTTCTCCCCCTCCAACTTACCTGGTGCAAAATTGTGTATCGTTCACGAAACAGCTCTGCTTTATCTCTTGCTGTCCCAAATAAATTTGGTGCAGGGTGGTTGGTCATTAATAAACTAGAAAAAAAAGAGTATGTCTACTTATGACTACCCATAATACACAAAGACAGATCACAAATGAAAGCTATATACCTTCTAAAAAAATATATACATTTGAAATTAGCTTCACATCAATGGATGGTATACTTACGGAAGAAATTTTTTTCTTTCTGAACTGTACACAAAGCGTGGGATATCAAATGCTCCTATGATATTGAAGATATGATCTCTGAAAAACAACCCATAAGAACAAACCTGATTTACTAAAAAATAAGTATTCCAAGTGAACATGAAAACTTGCATTATAATCTTATGTCATACACATATACTTTCCACAGATCATGTACACAATTTCTTGTAGTGTCAAAAATAATATGGGGTTTTTAGCCTGTATATTTCTCTCTCTGAGAAAAGAAAGCACTGCCAATACTCTCAAACAAACAAAAAATTTAATCAACTTCTAATTAATAATGTTATCTGTTTGGAAAGAACATTGATAATAAAATAGTGACATCTTAAAGCAATCTCTCCTAATATATACTGCTTTTATAACTACAATATTATTAAAGGGTATAATTCAGTTCCAACTATTTTTTAATCCAAAGTATCATGCAAAAGTGACCCAGGAAAAGATGTAAACAGAAAAATGAACCGACCCCCAAAGTCTGACTATATCATTAACACTTATAGTGTTAGAGAAGGACAATTCACAAAATAATTTACCTTCAGACACTTCTAATATAACCATGTTTGAATGAGGTTAAATAGCACTATTCTCAGCACTGCTGCATAAATATTCCAATCTAAAAAAAAAAACTTCCCTAAAATCATATCTATTTCCCAAAATGAAAATGGTCAAAAAAACTTCATGCTCGCCTGTTGGTAGCACCTAGTAGAGAGAAGCAGAAAACCAGTGAACTTGAAGCAAGCCTTGATTCTAGGTACAGCTCCATGGTTTTCTAGTGGATTAGTTTTAGCAAGTTATTTAATGCTCCTTATGCATCTATAATAATGAGAGCCTCTCCTTTCTGCTATAATATAATGACTTTCTGACAACTGGAGTTGCAAAGATCATTTATAATTCAGTCCCCACTCGACCTCTATATTGGCTGACAGTAGCATGGCAGCCCACTCCAGTATTCTTGTTTGGAGAATCCCCATGGACAGAGGAGCCTGGAGGGCCACAGTCCATGGAGTTGCAAAGAATCAGACACAACTGAGCGAATGAGCACAGCACATAGGAACAGCTTGACAGAAACAATGGGTAACTTTAACGGCTATTTTAGGATTATAATCCTTATACTTTGATACAATTGTTTTGAATTTCTAATGAAGGATTTAGGAGCAAGTACTCTAGTATCTTAAGCAATGAGTTGGCAAGGATAAAATTTAAATACCTTAATTTCTCTATTTTTTGCAGCTCTAATAAGTTCTAATAGGAAAAAGATTAAATTTGGGGATAGACATGTACACACTGCTATATTTTAAATAGATAACCAACAAAAACCTATCATATAGCAAAAAAAAAAAAGATTAAAACTATTGACCAAGAGGAGTAATGACTCCTTTCAATTATCTCCATTGCCCCAATAGGAAAAAAAATATTAAAACTGTTTCTCTTCATTTTTCCCAGATGTTTTCATTTCAATTAAACCCTGTGAATTTGGAAAGAAGTATTACATTCAAAGGAGGAAAGGAAAGAGGTACACTTGGGAATAAAACCCAGAAAAATTACTGCGATATAAATTGTTAAGCTCTAACAGCATGAGACAGGGTAACAAGTCATAAAGCTGAGGTTCCACCCTCTGGGGCATTCAGCAAGTTATCCAAGTTAAGTCCTTGAACTTCAGGATTCAGCCCTTTCCTAAGATAAAAATTAAATTATACCTCTGAATAATCAATTCAATTCACCTGTAGCATATAAAATATTAAATCAAATCAGTTGGGTAAGTGGCAAAAGTCTGTCATGGTACAAACACATCAAAATCTCAAATCCTGAGATAAAAATAGTAAAGATGAGTCATGTAATATTGAGGTTTATAATGTAGTGAAGTGAAAGTCACTCAGTCATGTGACTCTGCGACCCCATGGACTATATAACCTGCTAGGCTCCTCTGTCCATGGAATTCTCCAGGCCAGACTACTAGAGTGGGTAGCCATTCCCTTCTCCAGGCGATCTTCCCAACCCAGGGATCAAATCCAGGTCTCCCGCGTTGCAGGCGGATTCTTTACCACCTGAACCACCAGGGGAGCCCAAAGATAGCTTATAATGTAAGCTATCACCCAAAAGAAACACAAAGAAAGAACCACTGTAGAAACAGTGACCGCCGGTTATCTTCCCAAGAAAATAATTTAAAATAAGCACTCAGTAACACTTCTGTACAGGGAAAAATTGAAATCTGCCCACATACATAGTTTCATCTACTGACTGACTGCATTCCTGGACTGCTGCTTCCACTACCGATCGTTCGATCATGTTTGATGACACTGAAAAGAGAAGTTCAAAGTCACATTTTAAAAACAGGCATACAATTTAGTTCTCTCCCCACATGGCTGTTTTTCCTTAAAATAATCTGTAAACAGTAACCCCAAGATTCTTATTTACATAGGTTTTAGGAAAAACATGTTAGGTTAGAACAGTAACTAACAAAAGTCTTATCTCAAATATCTTAATTTTCTTCTCTCAAATACACTTGACACACAGTCAAATGCCTCAGTTTTCTAAGTATTGTTTAGCAATATACATTCAGGTATACAAATGCTTCTGTAAGCTCCTAGGTTAATATGGTTACAGTAGTATAACTTTTCATCACGACTGCTATGTTTCTTCCTTTTTTTTTTTTTTTTTGTGGCTGTGACTGGTCTTCATTGTGGTGTGCAGGCTTCTCCAGTTGCCCCATGGCGTGCAGAATCTTAGTTTCCCTATCAGGTATAGAAACCACATCCCCCGCACTTGAAGGCAGATTCTTAATCACTGGACCACCAGAGAAATCCCCACAACTGCTATGTTTCAACAGGCATGAGAGTAACAGTAATAACAATAACTGCCACCATTTATCAAACCCTGAGTAAACAAGTGACACTATGCTCAGTACTTCACAAGCATTACTGGATAGATGTCCTATAAGACTGATGTTCAAGCCATGTCTTACAGATGAGGAAAGCGCAACTCCAAGAGGTCAAATAACCTGCTGATGAACATAACTGGAAGGAATAGAGAGCAACACAAACCAGAACCTGTTTCCAGATTGGGTGCCCTTAACCACTGTGGTATGTTCTCAAGCAAAATGCCATCATGTGCCATTAATGTATACTAATTTTCTAAAATTAACCATTTCTAAATTTTCAACTATAAGGAAAATTTCAAAACAAAGATATATTTAAAATTCTCCCCTTAGAAGTAAAAATGAGATATAATAGCAATTTCTCCTCTATCATAGAAAGTTTCCACCCATTTAACTGATGAAACCGGCATCTGTACAACCTATGAGAGCAAGCCACACCCACCTCCCTCCTTCAGTGCTCTAGAAACTGGACATTTTTTTCTAGGAGAAGAACATTTCTCTTTTGTAGGTCCACGCTTATGGCAAAAGATTGAATATTTAACAAAAAGATCCCTCAAGAAAGGCTGAGGCAGGAAGGGAAAGTTATTCTCACTCACTCTATTTTCCCCTCAAACATTTAAAAATAACTAACTTGAAAATCTATATGCAGGTCAGGAAGCAACAGTTAGACCTGAACATGGAACAACAGACTGGTTCCAAATAGGAAAAGGAGTACGTCAAGGCTGTATATTGTCACCCTGCTTATTTAACTTATATGCAGAGTACATCATGAGAAACGCTGGGCTGGATGAAGCACAAGCTGGAATCAAGATTGCCAGGAGAAATATCAGTAACCTCAGATATGCCAATGACAACACTCTTATAGCAAGAAGTGAAGAACTAAAGAGACTCTTGATGAAAGTGAAAGAGGAGAGTGAGAAAGTTGGCTTAAAGCTCAACATTCAGAAAACTAAGATCATGGCATCCGGTCCCATCACTTCATGGCAAATAGACAGGGAAACAGTAGAAACAGCGGCTATTTTTGGGGGCTCCACAATCACTGCAGATGGTGACTGCAGCCATGAAATTAAAAGATGCTTACTCCTTGGAAGGAAAGTTATGACCAACCTAGACAGCATATTAAAAAGCAGAGACATGACTTTGCCAACAAAGGTCTGTCTAGTCAAGGCTATGGTTTTTCCAGTAGTCATGTATGGATGTGAGAGTTGGACTATAAAGAAATCTGAGCGCCGAAGAATTGATGCTTTTGAATTGTGGTGTTGGAGAAGACTCTTGAGAGTCCCTTGGACTGCAAGGAGATCCAACCAGCCCATCCTAAAGGAGATCAGTCCCGAGTGTTCATTGGAAGGACTCATGTTGAAGCTGAAACTCCAATACTTTGGCCACCTAACACGAAGAACTACACATTTGAAAAGACCCTGATGCTGGGAAAGATTGAAGGCAGGAGGAGAAGGGGACAACAGAGGATGAGATGGTTGGATGGCATCACCGACTCAATGGAGATGAGAGGGAGGGACAGGGAGGCCTGGAGTGCTGTGGTCCATGACATCGTGAAGAGTCAGACACGACTGAGCAACTGAACTGAACTGAAGTAACACAAAGAAATAGGCATACAGAGAAAAGACAGTGACCATAAAGGAATCAGAGGGAAATTCATAAAAGGGAAGAACTGTAAAAGAGTTTCTGGGAAAGCCCCAAGGTTCCAACAGAATTAGAGGTTCCCGCTTAGCAACAAGTGCTACCAGGGCTATGTCTCATGCCACCAGGACATTCAATACTGAGTCCTCAACTTCTCCTTAAACTTTTTAAGATAACTGAGGATGTAGAACTATATGAACAATATAAGTTACAGGGAATGTTACTTACAGGGTTGCTTTTCAACTGCATCGATGATCCTTTCCAGTGCATCTTCAAGCTCTATTTCATTGATAGACTGAAGAGCTTCTGTGAGGCACTTAACAGCTTCACTGATAAGAAAGACTGGTAATTGAGGCTACATGTTTTATGCCAAAATCTGGCAAACATTCATCAATCCAGCACTGAAATTAAGACCTACTCACTCACTCCTCCCAGCAAGCAATACTCCCCTTTCCTGTACTTTCTGAACAAAATGTTTCTCCCACCCACTGCCAACAGAACCATTCTTAAAATCCCAAATCATATCCTTCTTCTAGGAAGACTTCCTAAACCAGCTCTACCAGCTGCAATCTCCCTTTCCTTCTGAAGTTGTTAATCTCACTTATAGGTCCCTTACATCTGCTACATCAAGTAGCCTTGTACTATGTATTACTTGACATTAATAAACTCAGTGTGCTTCAATGTTCTGAATATAACAGACAAATATTTATTAACTTGATAATGCATTTGCTTAAGTTCCAGTAATTTCATAATCGTTTTCAATTGTAAAATAAGAAAAAAAAAAAAAAAGAGCTAGAAAAAACTGACATTTGAATATCGTCGTAGAGGGAATAACATTCACTAAAATCACATGAATCCCTCCTGCCCCCCATAATCAATAAAACTGAGATTTTTAATAAATCACATGAATTCTTGATTTAAATAACAATAATTCTCAGAGTGAACACTGTCTCCTTAAACAATTAGCTAATTCCATGCCATTCTGTATTTGTGGACCACAGCTTTACACTTTATATCAATATTAATTGTTATAGTCATATATCTTAGGTTGCTTATTGTTTCATGTGTGGGTGTCACATCCCTTTAGTTTATTGTAGAACATGATTGATTCCCTAAAATCACACACATATTGGGTGAATGTTGGGAAAGCTACTAGGATAGACCAAAGTCATACAGGATCTGGTCCCTGTCAAATCTCACTGGTCTTATCCAGTGTCTCTGGACTTCCTGATGCTCTCCGGCTTCAAGATCTTTATATGGTCACTTCTCCCCTCCTCGTTACCTACTCAAGTCCTGCTCATACTCAGTTCAAACCATTTCCCCCCCTCCCCTAATCATTCTTTAATGAAGCCTTTCTAGACTCTAGAACTGTTTATACACCTGGTGATACACTATCATAGCACTTCTTTCCTCGGATCCTTTTCACAAGTGAAAGTAAATAATTGTGAGTTATTCAATACCCATGCTAGACAGACTTCTAAGATGACCCCTAATTATCCACACCTCCTGGTAATCATATCCTTGTTTAAGCACCTCCCCTTGAGTGTTGGTTGGACCTAATGACGTGCTTCTAATAATAGAATATAGCACAAGTGATCAAATATTTGACTGTATTGTACTTTTAAAAACAAACATTTTTAAGTGACAAGATGTCACTTTCTTGCCTTAAGTTACAAAAAACGGTGACTTTCATTTACTAGCAGACTCTCTTGCTACTTGTGATAAAGTAAGCTGCCATGTTGGGGAGGCCCAATAGCCAGGAAGGACTGAAGCCATCAGTCGGACAATCCGGGATGAACTGAATCCTGCCAATCACTGAATCACCAATCGGAAGCAAACCCTGCCCAACTGACGGTGAGATGACTGCATCTTGACTGCAGTCTTTTGAGAGACGGTGAAGCTAAGGACCCAACTAAGCCTACCTGAATTCCTGACCCGTGGAAAATGTGAGAATTTAAGTGCCTGCTGTTTTAAACGTCTAAATTGGGGGTAATGAGTTATGCAGCAATAAATAATTAATACACTATCTGCCCCCCAACCTCCTCAGTGTTGTACTCTATTCCCTTGCTCCGTAAGTATTTTACAGCTAATATATTTCAGTGTATTTCTGACTGAATTAATGAATGACAGCTCGGTGTTAAGTCAAATCCTAAGTGAAAAGAAAAATACTAACTGATTTATTGCTTGTATTTTGTAAATGTCGGGGATCAACAGATAATCAAATAATCAGAATTTATTATTTTCTCCTACAGAATATCCACTCTTGCCCCTGTTCACCACTAACCCCAAAACATGGTAAAAGTCCCATAAAACTCATCTTCACAAAAACAAACCAAAAACCTCTACACACACAAGACCAATCAAAACCTGGTAGAGACGTGTATCCCGTCCAGCAGGTATTTACATATGTAAATACCGTATTCTTTCTTTCTTTTTTTTTTTAAAAAGCAGATTTAATGAGAAAAATCTTGTATAGGATCATTCTACAAATCGTAGAAGACACGGATATGGCAAGAGAAGTTCTAAAGGAAGTCTTTAAAAAAAAAAAAAAAAAGACGACATGCTTCAAACCTACCCACTTCTTAACACTTCAGGAATTCTCTCTCAAGAATAGGACCTGACCTAAAATTGGGAGGGCTGGCAGGGCCCACAGTTTGTACCAATCTGACAGCTACTGGCAAGCAATGGGCTTTCCCAGGGCTCTCATTCGCTGTCTCCGTAACCACGTGAGAAGCGATGCTGGGTTCCCAAGCCGCAGAAGAAAAGATTAAGCGAGCAGAGAGCGCCCAAGCAGCGTGCTAATATACGGATGCTGCGGAACCTATCGCCGCTTCTCCGGCTGTTCAGCAAGTGCAGGAGAGCCTCATCCCTTCCGCGAGAAACTTTACGAGTCCGCGTCGGGGAATCTAAGGCATCGCCAGATCCTCTTCGCTTCTTAGAACTCTTTCAGGGTCTCTGTGATTTTAAGGCCAGAGGCCAGGGTCCCTCTCGACATACGTCTCATCCCGCGGCCCCGCACGGAGGCCTGGCCCTGGCTCTCCCTTCCTACCCCGCCAGCTATCCGGCCCACTCACCCCCGGAGCAGCAATCCGCGAAGCTTGAAGGCGGAGACCGCCCGGCTCCTTAACCGCTCAGGCGCCATGTTCGCGTTTTGGCGCCACGGCCCCGGCTCCGCCCCTTCCCGGGCGTGCCCCGTCCTGGCCCCGCCCCAGACACGCCAGTTGTTATAATAACACGCTGTTTAAATAGCGCCAGAGGTCACTACTCCTCTCAGTGCGTGGAAAGATCCGCGCTTCCGCGGGCCAGGCCGGCTGCTTCCCTGCACCCTTTAAGTTGCAGGAGAAAACGACCCTACACTGCTCTATTTTGGGGATACTGACCAGCGAGTGCCCCGTTGTTTGGTTGGGAACGTGCTTCCCTATCTCAAGTGCTTCATGGAACCCACTTTGCGCTCTTATCGCTGCCCTCCACCTTCCGCGACTCCGGTCGGGCTCATCCGGACCTTGGGGCCCTTCAGTACTTATGTTCTCTGCTTCACACAAGCCCTGGAAATGCTCTGTGTCACCACAGGGTTTTCCCCGACATTCACTCGCAGCTGTTAGACGTCACCATAATTCTCACCCACTCCACTTTATATTTAAGTTGCGAGCTGCCTTTGAGCGCTTTAAATGTATTAATATATTGTTCGTAAAGCCAAATGAGCTGTGTGCTGTTTTTTCAACATCTTCCTTTTACTGATGAGAAAAGTGAGACGCAGATATGGTAGGTAGATGGCTCACTCAAGATGAAATATTCGGTGAGTGATGGATGGAGCCAGGATTACTCAGGCTTATTCCAGCAAGTGAGTTGTTCATTTGCCACGCGTCAAAACGCTTGCTCCAATGAGTTAAAATAAAACCTTGGAGTGCATATAAGTGAACGTGTAGTCTTATGAAATGTGAGGATGATTCCTAAGAACTGCTATACGGTGACTTCCAGTGTATTCAACTTGTTGCTTATGTACGACTCTGCGGCCCGATGGACTGGAGACCGACAGATTCCTCTGTCCAACGGATTTCCCAGGCAAGAATATTAGAGTGGATTGCCATTTCCTTCTTCTGGGAATCTTCCCGACTCAGGGATTGAACCCAGGTCTCCCGCACTGGCAGGCAGATTCTTTACTGCTGAGCCACCAGGGAAGGCCAGTATCTACAGATTAAGAATTTATTTAGTATCTATTACTACAAGACTCTGGGGAGTCAATAATACTTGATTATTTCAGCGTTTGTGTCTAACGGGACCTCAGGACCAACTAGCTACAGCAAGCAGGCACTTAGTAAACATATGCTGAAGAAATGAATAAATTAACGTTCTGAGGGGTGAGCAGCCACATTCTCTTAAAGGACAGGGGCATCTGTAGACACTGGAATGATTATTGTCTTCCCTCTTGGCACTAGTTTTACTTCAGTAACATCATATTATAGCAAGGGTTAGGCAGCTTTCTCTGGAAGGGGCCAGACATAAACATTTTCCACAGTGAGACCTATCTGGTCTTTGTTGCAGGTACTTAGCTGGGCCTACTCAACTCTGTGGCTTACATCAGCAGCCACAGACAATCCTTAAACGAATTAGAGTGGCTGTGTGCCAATAAACTATGTATTTGTATTTTTTATGAGTAATATCATTTTTAATTTTTTTCAACCATTAAAAAATGTATAATTTTTAACTTGTGGGCGCCACAGAAACACGTAGTGATAAGATTTGGCCTGCAGGCTGTAGCTTGCTGGCATATGTTTTAGAAATTTTTCAATTAAATATATATATGTATATATATATAATTCTCATTCTCTCCTATCCTCTCTCTCTGGATAACTATCTCTGCTGGAAGTTGAATGGAAAAGGCAAACCCTCATAAAGCATTTCTGTACTAATACATTGATTTAAGTCACAGCAGAATCAAGTCCGTGTACAAGTCCAGAGAGTCACTGGATAAGGTACAGAGTCAGGCTGTTCCGCCCACACAACACAATCGCAAGTGACACGAAATCAGCGAGCGGCAGGGCTGCGGAGAAGCGAAGGCACCTCCCTGCCCACTCAGACCTCAAGCATCCCTAGCTGGCGACGCCACCCCGGGCTCGGCTTCCCGGGCGGGCTTCGGGACGGCGCAGCCGCACTGGTGCCGCCTTCCCACCAATCTCGACCCTCGACGCGTTCCGTTCGTGCGTGGAGGAGCCGGGCGGGAGGAGAGGCCGCGCCGTGGGCAGGGGCTGCGGCGCGCCGAGCGGCTGGGCCCAGCGACCGCGCGATGGCGGACTCGCAGCTGTTCTGCGTGGCCGAGGAGCGCAGCGGCCACTGTGCCGTGGTGGACGGAAACTTCCTCTACGTTTGGGGGGGCTACGTGGTAAGGGGAAGAAGCGGGACGGGGCGGACTTGCGCCGGGAGCCCGCCCGGCCTCCCGGGCCGACCGGCCGGCTAGCCCCCGCCCACACCCGGCCCAGAGGCGGGGGCCGGTCCGCGGCCCTGGCTGGCACCGCCGGCGCCCCGCCCGGCCCTCTGCTGTCGGCCGCTCTCCCGCCGCTTCCGGGCTGGACGCCGAGCCGCCGTTGCTTGCACTGGGAAAGCCTTCAAAGCCCGCTCCGGGGCTCTTCCCATTCTCCAGTCCGCCGGGTCCTCGCAGCTGGCGGATAGCTCGGCTTGCCCAGCGCTCAGGCGGTTACTGCGCGATAGATGATCATTTTTAAATGCTTACGCAGACGCAAAAGCCCACCGAGGATGCCGAGCTATATTAGTCCATAAATATTTCCTTATTCCCGCGGCGCGATTCGGAATCACTGAAGCATTTAAGTATTCCTAAGTAGTTTTTAGTGGCATTCCTTTACCAGTGGGTAATGACGATTTTTTTTTTTTCCGAATCTGAAAACAGGCTCATTAACAGTATGAATGTTAGGCTTTAAAATTCTTATTACAGTGGAGGTTTGAATATGTGCTTTGTTTCTATAATCGTAGGATTATAGAATCAAGGATTCTAAAGATGGAAAGCAGTTCTGGAATATATGCCAACCCCTTTAGTTTAAGATTTAAGAAAAAAAAAAGCGAGCCATCTGGAGTTCTGCTGGAGGTAGAACAGATATTTTTCTGACTGATTCAATACTATTATGTGACAGATGTAACATGACTGAATCGCTCAAAGAAATAAAGAACATACTGTGTATGTTAAATGATTCTCAAATCCAAGTTGGTTTTTGTTGTTTTGTTTGTGTGTTTATTTTTAATCTGATTCAGTGTCAGGATGGGAAAATCAGAACTCACATTTGAGTGCCTACTATAGGTGGCATGTGTTACGAAATCTCATATTCCCAATCTTCTATAATCCTTACTATACCTTGTGAGGTAAGTAATATACTATTTAAAAAATAAGGTCTATGAGTCAGTAAGAGTAAATAATTTGAATGACCATTTGGCTGCAAGGGCAGCAGATTCCAACTTAGATATATTGGATTTCCAAAGCCTATTTTTTTTTATGATAAACATAAATTAGGTTTTCCTAAGGTTTAATAGTTCCACCTCGTATTCTTGGTGAAAAAGTAGTCTAGATATAATGATGGTTTTTGCAGAAGAAATATTTGTATTGTTTTGAGCTGTACTACTTGAAGATGTACAGCTGTCAGACTTCATGGCTATATTCTTAGTATTGTGACAGATGAAAAAAATGAAAAAAATCTCACTTAAGATAGTAATCTGTAATATCTCATATCTGGTGACAATATAGATTTCTGTTGGCCCCATAACTGAAATGTCTGGAGTCTTTACATTTCATTTTAATCTTGAAAATTGTGTAATTGGTAAGTTTCCAGGTTTTCAGATCACAGTTAGTGAGTAGAAATACTTCCTGCTACTGATCCAATGAGTAAATGCTATAAGAACCACCCTGGAAAGTACCACACAGATTTAGATCAAGCCTACTTTTAAATCCAGGGATTGTCAGCACTTAAAATATGTCTAAGGCATAAGGGAAAGGAAAGAGAGAGTGGGAGGCAGAAAAGAAGACATGGCATATAATGATGAAAAAGTAGAATCATTCCAACAATTGTTTTATTCACATCCTTCTTAACAGCTAAAAGGCCCTGGAATCTAGAGATAACCCAGTAGTCAGTCGTAAAGAATAGTATTCAGTTGATTCCAGATTGTTTGTTCCAAGCCCAGTTTTCCTCCTCATGAACACAATGTGTATTAAAATTGACCAAAGTATATCCTAAAACTTGAATGGCCCACATATATCTGTCTAAATTATTATTACCCTATTATTGAACATCTTGTAAAGTCCAGTGTATCTGAAAATAGCCCTACCTCTAGAGGTAAGAGCAGCAATGCTGAAAAAAGTAAATTCCAATTGGTGTCAGAATATTCTCTTGTTCCTAGTTTTTTCATATATTTTCCACACTACTGAAATTCATACAAACTTTAGTATTACAACTAGGAACCTTTAAAAGTTGTGAGTTTTTTCTAAATTTTTGAGGAGAAGCACAATGTTTTAGCCTGTTTACAGATGATATACTTTCCTCTTGAGGTTTAATCGTATGAACAGTTCTATTTCTGTAATACAATTGATGTTAATACATTTTGCCCTAAACCTTTCCTTATACAAACTAGCTGTATGAGTCTGTTTAACTATATGTTTCTGTTTTGGAAAAGGACTTAAAGGAAAGAAGAATCAACTTAAAAAACGTTTGAAAAGAATGAAAGTTGGAGGTTTACAGTACCAGATTTTAAAACATAATACTGAAACAAATCAGTGATGCAAGTTGAGATAGCATGATGGAATGGAGAAGAAATTACATAAACAACCAAGCATATAAGAGTATTTCATATATAAAAGGCAGCATTTCAGTTCTGGAAAAACAGTGGCTTATTCAATATGTTCCTGGGACTACTGGAGGAAAATGATAGTAGAGTTTAGGATTGACAGATATAGAGAAATTAAGCTATTTGATACCAGAAGAAAATATGTGACGTGTAAAATTGTGAGTTGGGAAAAGAAAAACTGAATTGGGAAAAAACTATAAGGGAAAAAGTTTGGTAGATCAAAGATGTTTTTTTAATATAAAAGGAAATTTTTTAAATCATCTTAGAGTGGTTAAGATCAAAGTTTTAAAAATTAAAATCTGTGCTTTTTAAACACCATAAAGTGAGGAGGTGAATGACAAATGGGCAAAGTTATTTGCAACATGTGTCATAGACAAAAGTTCTGTAAAAATAAGGACTGATATTTCCCTGAAAAATGAGCAATGGACAAGCACAGAAATTTAAAAAAAAGAAATAGAAATAGATTGTGAATCAAAGAAACAGAAATGAAAATTTTCTTTTCCAATTTGCAAATATTCAGAATTTTTGAGAAGAGTGTAGGGAAATGAATTACTCATGCACTAGTAAACTTTTTTTGGAGAGAAAGTTAGCAATGTGTATTAAAAGCCTTAAGTGAGTATTTCTTTAACTTAATTATTTATTCATAGATGGTCACACAGACCATCCATATTATGTGGAGATGTTAATTCTGTTTAGATGGCCAGAATTTGAATCCCCTTCCTCTTGTTGTATCCCCCACCAAGTGAGTCTTGCTTTAGTTGAGTATTTATTTTAGTTGTCTGAGTACCTCCTACGTACCTTCATAGAAAATATATTCTGTAAGATAGGAATTTTTTTCCCTATTCTGTCCTTGGTGTCCTGAGTCAGACATAGCTCATAGTAGGTGCCCAATAAAAAAGAACCAGAGTACCAGGTTTTTTCCAGCTTCGCTTGCAGCTAGGTTCTGGGCAAGTAGCCTGGATGCTATTGGTTAGATGTATGTGTGGTAGATTTGGACTTAAGAATAAAGATGTAAAAATCAGGACTTAAAGAGGATTCTTGGCTACCCATAGAATTTGTAGGAAGATAAGGTCCCTGGCATAAAAGGCAGTTCTATAAGCTGCAGTGCTACAAGCTGCTCACCAGTGACTGGGGCAGTTTACACTTCAGACTGGTTCTCTGGGTTTTTAGGTCTTGCTTCTCTTAACACAAGCTGGTTCTCCAACTTCCCTGATGATTCCATGAACTACCTAATATTCATTTATTAAAATTTTATTCTTTAATTTAAAATTTTTAAATATTTATACAAAAGGATATGTAAAATAATGACATCAGATTAAGAAATCAGCTAAAATCAGTACTGTAGAAGTTTCCTGTTTATCCTTCCCTGATTATATTGTTCCTCCCATGCTCATAGGGTACCACTATCTTGATTGCTTATTAATCACCATTTTGTTTATAGTTTTATCACTTATGCATCTGTCCCTAAACAATATATTATTTGGTTTTTTAATCAGAGCACGGGTTTTCTTTCATGACTTAATTCTTTTAGTTAACATTGTGTGTTTTAGACTCATACATGATTTGTATTCAGCTAGTTGTGCACTTGCATGGCTGTGACTGTGCTTAGTGTTTATTTTGTTTGGTCAGTTTCTATGCTGTGCAGTTATTAAATATTTTGAAAATCGCCCCTAGATTTATTCCTTTGATGTGTGTACTATATAATATTCTATTGTGTGAACTCACAGCAGTTTCCTTATCTGTTCCACTATTGGTGTATATTTGAATGTTTCAGGTTTTTTTTTTCTTTTTGGAGTTGTAAGCAATGCTACATTGAGCATTCTTTATAACATGTCTCCTATTATACCTGCAGGGGGGGCATATACATTCTCTAGGGCATACACCAAGGGATGGAATGCTGGGTTGCCTGGTCCCACACTTCCAAATTAAATTGGAAATGTCAGTGTTACCAAAATATTTGTATCAATTTACACCACCCTCACCAACTTCCTTGTTCCACATCCTTGACAACATTTGGTACCATCTGGCCTTCTAATTTGCCAATCCAGTGAGTGTGATGACATATTTCATTGTAGTTTTTATTTGCTTTCCATGATTACAATACAGTGGAGTGTCTTTTCATAGCTTTATGAACTATTTGTGTTTTCTGTAAAAACACTGATTCATGTCTTTTGCTCACTTGTCTATTGAGTTGTCTTTTACTGATTTATAGGGATTCTTTAATTACATAGTTGAGTTTAATATGTCTTTTCAGTTTGAGGCTTCCCTGGTAGCTCAGTTGGTAAAGAATCCGCCTGCAACTCGGGAGACTTCTGTTCGATCCCTGGGTTGGGAAGATCTGCTAGAGACGGGAAAGGCTACCCACGCCAGTATTCTGGCCTGAAGAATTCCATGGACTATACAGTCCACGGGGTTGCAGAGTTGGACACGACTGAGCAACTTTCACTTTTCTCAGTCTGTAGCTTATCTTTGTACTTTCTTGATTATATTTTGTTCAACAGAGACTTTTAATTAATGACATTAATACTTTGTACTTTCTGCATCTTAAATCTTTCCCAGCGTGGAGATCATAAAGTCTCCTATATTGTCTTCTAAACAATTTTTGGTTTTGCCTTCCACATTTAATTTTTTTTAATTTGAATTTTTTGTTTGGTTGGTTGGTTTAAGGTAGGGATCCAATTGATTATATTTTCAATATGGATAATCAGTTATTCTTGTGTCATATATTAAATAGTCCCCTCTTTCCCTACTCTGACATGCATCAAGTTTCCATGTTTGTGTCATCTGTTTCTAGGCTCTTTATTCTGTGAAGTTTGCTGTTTATTCTTGGAACAGAACCTCCCTCAGTGTCTAAATGACAACAGCTTTACTAGAAGTCTGAATGTTGGATGATAAAAGCCCCACTCACACTCTATCTTGTTCTTGAGGAATATTTTGGTTATGTAGGGACTTTTGTTGTTTCATATACATTTTCTTTACTATTTTTATTATAGTAAAATATATAAAAAGTTTAATTGGTCATTTTAACCAAGTTAGTGTACAGTTGGTGGCATTATATTGAGTGTTGTCCAGTGTTACCACTGTCTGCTTCCTAGATGGTGCTGGTGCTAACGAACCTGCCCGCCAATGCTTGAGATGTAAGAGAAACGGGTTCAGTCTCTAGGCCGGGAAGATTCCCTGGAGAAGGGCGTGGCAACTGACTCTAGTATTCTTGCCTGGAAAATCCCATGGACAAAGGAGCCTGGCTGGCTACAGTCCACAGGGTCTCACAGAGTTGGCCTGACTGAAGCGACTTAGCACACACCGCTGTCTAGTTCCAAAACTCTACCCCAAACAGAAATTCTGCCTCCCTCCCTTCTTACCCCAGGCCCTGCTAACTTCTAATCATTCTATCTTTATACATTTGCCTTTTTCTAGATATTTCATGTAAATGAGATCTTAATAATGTTTATATTTGTGAGTCTGGCTTCTTTTGTTTAGCATATTACATTCATGGTTTGCCTACATTGCAGTATGTGTCAGAACTTCATTCCTTTTATGGAGAATAGGATTACATTGTATGCATATGCCACATTTTGTTTATCCACTCATCTGTTGTTGGGACACTTGGGTTGTTGCCCCCTTTTGTGTATTCTAAATAGTTCTGATATGAAGATTGGCATTACAAGTATCTGAGCCCCTATTTTCAATTCTGTTGGGTACGTAGGAGTGGAATTCCTGTGGTTATTCTACATTTAACTTTTAGAAGAACTGCCAACTTGTTTTCCACCGTACTTCTTCATTTGTATAAACTTTAGAATCAGATTGTCAAATAAATTACTCTGTAAGATTTTATGTTACTGTACTCAATCTTTAGATCATTTGAGAGTGATAGACATGTTATGAAATTGAGGCTTCAGGTCCGAGTATCTAGTATATCTCTATTCAAGACTTTTTGATGTCTTTCAATGAAATTTTGTAGTATCTTCATCAATATCTTATATATCTTTTGTTGGGTTTACGCTTGGCTTCTTTGTATTTTTGGTTGTTAGTTTCTTTAAAACTAAATTTCTTGATTATCACTGGTATTTTGAAATACAGTTAACTTGAATATTTTTTACTTGGCAGACTTTCTAAACATACATTAATTCTCAAAATCCATCTGTTAATTATCTTTATTTTCTTTTTTTTTAATCTTTATTTTCTATATGGAATCTACACATGATGACAGTTTTGTTTCTTCCATCCTAATCTTTATTCCTAATTTTTTTTACTATACTGGTGGATCTAAAGTACAGTGTAAAACAAAAGCTATTTTTTCCTTGCTCCTAATCTCAGAGGGATTGTTTTAAACTGTTAACCATTAAGTTTGATGATTGCTTAGGGTTTTGTTTGTTAGTTTTTAGGTGTCCTTTTTCAAATTAATGGCCCTTTTCAAATGAACAAGGTGCCTTTCTACCCAGTTTTCAATTTGGGAATGTTGAGTTTTCAAGAGTGATTTTTGCATTATACTGAGATACTTATGTTTTTTCTTCTTTACTCTCCAAATGTGATGACTTATAAAAAATAGTAATATTTGTAATAGTAAATCAATGTTCCATTCCTTGGATTAAGTACAAGTTAGTATAATACGTTACCTTTTATATACATCAACTGGATCCTATTTACTCATTACTTTTTAAAGCAATTTTACATCTATGTTCAAAAGTGGTTTGGCTAGTATTCCTTCTTTTATATTCTGGAGTAGATTTTTTGGAAGATTTAATTACTTGTTCTGTGAGTGTTTGGAAGAATTCATATGTAAAGCCATCTGGGTTTGGTACTTTGTGGGGGAGATTTTAAATCTCTGATTCAATCAAAACTATGAGATTATTCATATTTTTCTTTCTTTTTTTTTTTTGAGTCAAGTTTCCTCACTTTCATTCTCTCTCTTCCTCCATGTCTCTTAACTTCTTTTTTATATAGTCTATCTCTCTGGGCTATGTTTCTGGATTAATAAGTTCACTAATTCTCTCTGTTTTTTTTTTTAGGGTAACTTTGACAAAAGCAGTTTTAGTGGAATGAGTCTGAATTGATTAATCTGGGTTGATGCTGTAACGAGCAATGAAGCAATGGAGAGTTCCACTATAACTCAGTATGGAACCTTTGTTATGAAGGGAGCCGAGAAATAAGAGAAGGAGTTGTGGAAGAGTTTTGTTTAAGATGAGCAATATTAAGGCATGTTTGAGTATCGATAGGGGTGATCTACCACAGAAGCAAAATTTGATGATGAGAAGGGATGATGAAAAGAAGGGATAATTTAGGAGTGTAATCACTGAGAAAATAAGGAACTAGGGCCAAATTGTTCAGTTCTGTGCTCCATTTGGTTTTTTGCAACACCACTTTTAAAGATTAGTTAAACAGACTTCTCTTTTTAACCATGAGATGAGCATACAGTCAGTTTAATAAGTATTATTCATGTATCCATTCTCTTAAGCCACAAATATTCTATTTGTCTTGTATGTCCAGTCACTGTGGTAGACTCTGGGAGCAACAAAATGAACATGACCTGTGCACTCATGAACCTTGTATCATGGCAGTGGTGGTGCTGTGTGGATATGATGCAAAGGACTTGGAAGGGAAGGTATAGGATTTATGAGAGCATTTAGCAGGGACCTTAATCTCTTAACTTTATTCTAGAAGATTAAAGAAGCAACAAATGATTCCCAAAGAAAGAGTAATTAGCCAAACAAATTCTGGGAGAGCACTGCAAGAAGAGAGAAGAGCATAGGTGAAGGTCCAGTAGGAAACTTGCATGGGTTTAGGAACGGAAGGAAGACTGGAAGTTAATGACTAAAGGCAAGAACTTTGGAGGGATAGCAGGTGCTATACAGCATAGAATCGTAAGCATTTTAGACCATCCTGAGAGCATCGGGGAAGCACCAAAGGGACTTAAGCAGAAAAGTGACAGAAGCCGTTTTCATACTATTTCTGTTGTAAAGGTGTGCTCGTGTGGCTACTAGAGCTGGATGCCATTAAACCTTAGAGTCATGCAGTTAACTCCCTTTCTTAACAATTATTTACTTGTGCATCAGTCAGACATGGTTTCCTCAGTCAGACAGAGTGGAAGTTTCCTTGGAAATTTCATTATAATATTTTTCTGCTCTGAGTGTGTGTGTATGAGAGTAGGGCCTGGGGAGAGATACAGACAGAAACAGAGATGGAGTTAGAGACATAGAACTAGTAGGATACTATTTTAAAATTTTAACTAATAGAGCAATGAGAATATTAACTAATTCTACTTAGCATGTTAATAATTTATACATCATACAGAAATTCTTAAATTTTTAGACATTTAATTCTTATATACTCTTAAACATCTTTTGCAACTAGCTATTTTTGAGTTATTTTATAACTTTTTTTTCATTTATTTTTATTACTTGGAGACTAATTACTTTACAATATTGTAGTGGTTTTTTGCCATACATTGACATGAATCAGCCATGGATTTACATGTGTTCCCCATCCCGATACCCCCCTCCCGCCTCCCTCCCCATCCCATCCCTCTGGGTCTTCCCAGCACACTAGCCCTGAGCACTTGTCTCATGCATCCAGCCTGGGCTGGTGATCTGTTTCACCCTTGGTAGTATACTTGTTTCAATGCTATTCTCTCAGAACATTCCACCCTCGCCTTCTCCCACAGAGTCCAAAATTCTATTCTGTACATCTGTGTCTCTTTTTCTGATTTGCATATAGGGTTATCGTTACCATCTTTTATTTTATAACTTTTAAGTAATCCTGACAGAGTTGTGTAAGGGTTTGTTTTAATCCCTAGGTTTTTAACCTTAACATAAAGAAAATTGTTATTTTATTCTTATTTCTCTTTTTATCATAAATATCAGACTGTACTATATATGTTTTCAGCTTCTTTAGAGATTATTCATATTCGGAGTTGGAATTTTTACTAGCTTAATTTATCTTGATCCTTAGATTCTATATTTAATCAACATCTAACACTATGCCTTGCACATAGTAGGCACTCAAAAAACATGTCCAGTGAATCAAGGTATATGATATGGTGCTCTTAATTATATTTCATAAAAGTTTCCTTTCTTAACTCCTCCCTTTTACCTCAAATATATTGCCCTTTTTCGATATTCCTTTTCTTTCTGGCTTCATAGTCTTCAGTATTCTGTTCTAATGTAATTGTTTTGCTGTTTTCTCTTTCTTGAACTTCTTGGAAAGTTTAATGGCCCTCAGTCTTTTTCTGAGACTCATATACTTTCTATTTTGTATTTGCCTACTTTCTCTTAGAAAATATCTCTCTTCCCCTTCTCTTTTGATCTATCTTAATTTCTATTGAAAAAACCGTCTTTGAGGCTGTTTATTGTTTTTGTCTTTTTCACTATTTTCATTGTGGTTTTCCCATCCTGAGCAACTATTTAGCTGTTACTTTGTAAATAATAAACATAATTTTATGTATTCTGTGTTTTTAGTCTATTGAAGACAATGAAGTATATTTGCCTAATGATGAGATTTGGACCTATGATATTGATAGTGGGTTGTGGTAAGTAATTTTACATTGCTTAATGTCCAATCTTAATATCTGTTACAACTGTTATCATAGACAACAGGAGATCTGAGACCGTACTCAGAACATACTGCAATATTATGTTATCTCCCTTTCCTTTTCCTTCAGTGCTTTATTCCCTCTGGATGTTTCTCTCCCCAGATCCCTTCCTCCCTTCATTTGTTGTCCTTTACTGTTCCTATCTGAAGACTTTCTTTTGTTCTACTTTTTCCCAATTCTGGTGACATGAGAAGATTTTGTAACTTTTTTCCTCAGTAGGTTGAAAAGTCTTTACCATGGATCTTCTTATAGTTTTTAGAGTATTGGCTACCATGATATCTTAATTGTAATTGTCAGTGACAATTTTCATTGAAAAAGTACTGATGGAGTTCAAAAGGAATTTTAATTTGCCTTTCTGGAAAGTTACGGCTTCCCACATTGTTCTTGCTGCAGGACAATGCACCTCATGGAAGGAGAACTGCCTACCTCCATGTCAGGAAGCTGCGGTGCTTGCATTAATGGAAAGCTGTACGTTTTTGGAGGATATGATGACAAAGGATACAGCAATCGAGTAATTTTTTTCTTTTCAATTCAGGAGTGCAGAAAAATGTAATGTTTAATGTGTCACTTCATCTCACAAGTATTTTGCAAAGAAGACATATGTAGAAAAGCTTGAGCTAACTGATAAGGTTTTAAAAGGTAGAGTGAAAATGCAGCATACCTGCTCCTCTCTGGTCCCAGATCCTTCTGCTTCAGAATTAACTGCTTACTTGGTTGATATCCATAGCGCAAGAACAAGAAGGGTAAAGATTCATTTCAGTATGTTTCATATATCATTTTTGATTCTAAAATATAGTCCCATTTTCATTAACTCTACAATTAAAATTTTTACCTTTTAAAAATAAATAATGTTATTAATTTTGGATCACCTGTCCCTGTGACATATATTTAATTTTCCGATGCCCTGTCTGTTAATAGTATTCTCCTCTTTTAAAAGCTTTATTTTGTTAATTTGCGAACAAGAGATGGAACCTACGTTTGGGAAAAAATCACCGACTTTGAAGGGCAACCACCCACACCACGTGATAAACTTTCCTGCTGGGTTTATAAAGACAGGTAATGCAGCAAAACCACCTGATTAACTGCATTCAAGTAAGGATTATAGCTTGTGTTCAAAATAGAGAAAACTTGAAACTGAATTTTTTTCAAGATATAATTACAAACTGTTTTGACACTGATGGTAAAGGCAGTTTTGAATCCTAGATAAGAGCCAGGTCATAAGAATAAATATGGTGGAAGCAACTATTTGTTTTTTTTAATTAATTACTTAATTAATTTTCTGGATAGTTAATATAGTCACATGGTTTAAAAATCAAAACCACATTAAGAAGTCTAGCTCCCATTGTTGTGCCCATCCATCCTGTTCCTACCCCTCCAGATGCACAAATAGGTATTTTTATCAACATCTTTTGTATTTTTATAGCAGTGGTTCTCAAACTTGTCTGCCATAGGAATAATATAGGGATTTTTTTTTTAATGCTCTAAAGCCCAGGTGATACCCTGCTGCTGCTGCTGCTAAGTCGCTTCAGTCGTGTTCAACTCTGTGCGACCCCGTAGATGGCACCCCACCAAGCTCCCCCATCCCTGGCATTCTCCAGGCAAGAGTACTGGAGTGGGGTGCCATTGCCTTCTCCGAGGTGATACCCTAGACTAACCTAGTTACAATCCATGGGAGTATGATTTTTTTTAATCTCCTCAAGTAATTCCAAGATGCAGACACGTTTGGGAACAGTTGCACTCTGTTACTTTAAGCAGATAGAAGCAAATACATATCTCTCTATATATTTATCTGTATCTTTTCTGCCTCTTTACACAAACATCTGTGTTCTTTGTACACTATTCTGCATCCTACTGCTTCTTTTATTTATTTATTTTTTTAGCCATTACTTTATATAATTTATTTTTAAATTTTTTTTCCATTTATTTTTATTAGTTGGAGGCTAATTACTTTACAGTATTGTAGTGGTTTTTGCCGTACATTGACATGAATCAGCCATGGATTTACATGTGTTCCCCATCCTGAACCCCCCTCCCACCTCCCTCCCCATCTCATCCCTCTGGGTCATCCCAGTGCACCAGCCCTGAGCACTTGTCTCATGCATCCAGCCTGGGCTGGTGATCTGTTTCACACTTGATAATATACATGTTTCGATGTTGTTCTCTCAGATCATCCCACCCTCGCCTTCTCCCATTGAGTCCAAAAGTCTGTTCTATACATCTGTGTCTCTTTTTCTGTCTTGCATATAGGGTTATCGTTACCAACTTTCTAAATTCCATATATATGCGTTAGTATACTGTATTGGTGTTTATCTTTCTGGCTTACTTCACTCTGTATAATTAGCTCCAGTTTCATCCATCTCATTAGAACTGATTCAAATGAATTCTTTTTAATGGCTGAGTAATATTCCATTGTGTATATGTACCACAGCTTTCTTATCCATTCATCTGCTGATGGGCATCTAGGTTGCTTCCACGTCCTGGCTATTATAAACAGTGCTGTGATGAACACTGGGGTACACGTGTCTCTTTCACATCTGGTTTCCTCAGTGTGTGTGCCCAGAAGTGGGATTGCTGGGTCATATGGCAGTTCTATTTCCAGTTTTTTAAGGAATCTCCACACTTGTTCTCCACAGCCAAACTAGTGGCTGTACTAGTTTGCATTCCCACCAACAGTGTAAGAGGGTTCCCTTTTCTCCACACCCTCTCCAGCATTTATTGCTTGTAGACTTTTAGATAGCAGCCATTCTGACTGGCATGTAATGGTACCTCATTGAGGTTTTGATTTGCATTTCTCTGATAATGAGTGATGTTGAGCATCCTACTGCTTCTTTTAGTCTACACTGTACCATGAAGAACTTTCATTTTTCTGTATCTCTAGTTGGAAAGCTTGTTTTTTTGCTTTTGTTCTGTTTTTACAGCTGCATGGTATTCTTCCATGAGGATATACTATAGTTTATTTAACTTTTTCCCGATAAATGAAGCAACACTTAGATTATTTCAATTCCTATGCCATTACAAACTGTGCTTTAATGAATATCTTTGTGTTTATATACATATAATTGCAGATCTATTTGTTGGATAAAATTCCACAATTTGATTTCTGGATCAAAGGATAATACATTTATAATTGTGGTAAATGTTTATTTTGCTAGGGCTGATGTAATAGAGTTCTATAAACTGAATGATTTAAACAACAGAAATGTACTTCTGTGGTTGTCAGTGGTTAAGACTCTGCCCTTCCACTGCAAGGGGCACAGGTGTGCATCCTGGTCAGGGAAGTAGGATCCTGCATGCCATGGGGTGTGTCAAAAAATGTATTGTCTCAGTTTTGGAGGCTAGAAGTCTGAGATCAAATTGTCAGCAAGGTTGGTTCTTTCTCTGGGTTTTCAGGAAGAATCTACTTCATGCCTCTCCCCAGCTTCTGGTGACTTGTTGGTAACCTGGTGTGTAGAAGCATCACTCAGATCTCTGCCTTCATAGTCACATAGCATTCTCTCTGTACTTGTTTGTCTTCCTCTAAATTTCCCCCTTTTGTAAGAATACCAGTTATATTGAATTAGTGCCTACCCTAATCACTTCATCTTAACTTGATTGCCTCTATAATAAGGGTCCCCATGTCTCTGCCAAAGTTATCTCATTCTTCCTGAACTTTGTCCACCTTTTACAAACTGGTCTGTTACTATTTCTGTTAGAATTATTTTAAAGGCCAGGTCTGCTAATTCCAATATCTAAAGTCAGCTTATATTGACTCTTTCCTCTCTTGATCGTGGGTCACTTTTTCTTTTTGCCTTTTCATATACCTTCTAATTTTACATCATATGGCAGACATTCTGTTTGAAAGAACAGTAAAGGTTGTAGTAAACAATCATCTCTCCAGAAAAGGACATGCCCTTTCTTTCTTTTTCAGGCTGCTGGAGTGGACTTTAAGTCAGTCTAACCTGAAGTTGGCCTGTGCTTAGGTTTTGTTGCAGCTTTGGTTTCATTCAGTTTTAGCACTGGCTTCAAATGTTCTGATGCAGGATCAAGACTTTTCTTTGCTAGGGCCCCACATTTTGAGCACTAGAAATTGTGAAGAGATTTTGAGCTGGACTTCACAGCCATGTACCTACTTCTCAGAACTGTGAGAGATCCCTTCTTGTTTCATAATTGGTAGGAATTTAGGTTGCTAGGGAGTTCTCCTTGCTCCCCAATCCCACTTTATAATTTTTGTACCTTGAGTGACCTCTTTAAGCATTGCATGTCCTCCCTGGCCTTTTGCGGGCAGCACTCCAAGATGTTTGCTTCAGATTTCCTGTCCTAATCCCAAACTTTAGAGTTGATAGTTCAGATTGCCTCAAGAAGAGTTGCTGTGCTCTCTCTGCTGCTTCATACTCTTGGTGACTGACCCGAAGTCCTCTCTGAAGATTATGTGAATACTTTTTGAATAGATTCAAACTCCCTAGGTGACTGGGTCTCTTAAGATTCTAATTTGCCTACACGTGGCTATTGAAATTTTGGCTGGCTTCTTTTACAAACCCTCTGTGTGCCAAGTTCTTCCTCCTCCTGCTGTTGCATCAAGGATGAAGCAACAATGGGTTTCTCTCTCCTATTGCAGGCTCATCACTTTCTGGAATTAGTTCACTTAGGTCTCTCTGTTCCCATAGTGGTTTGATTTTTTTTTTTTAACTATGGTTTTGTAGTTTATGTGGCTTGTTTAGGTTGTGAGAGAAATGATGTCTTTCAGCTTTCTGTGAACAAGCTGAAAGCAGAACTCCCAAAGTGTGTCCTTTGTTTTGTTTTTCAGATTAATATATTTTGGCGGCTATGGGTGTAGGAGACATAACGAACTCCAAGATTGCTTTGATGTTCATGATGCATCTTGGGTAAGAGAGTAATCCCTGTTTACCCTTTCCTCTAATTTAGTGTCGCCTTAAAGTTTATAGAAATAATGAGCCCAGTCCTTCCTATTTTAATTTGCTATAATTGATACTATGAAAAAAAGTGTCTTTTCTCTCTTTTGAATTTGGGTTCAGTTGCAAGAGATTCTCTCACCTAATGGTATCAGCCTTCATTGCTACTGGCAGAGTAATTTCTTTTCTGATGTCATAAATCACTTAAAGATGCTTCTATTAGACAAGTAGTGGCTTTAGCACAACTTGAAAAACTTTGTTCATAGGTAACCACAGTGGCTGTTGCTGACATACACCTCCTTTTAGGTACGTCCGCCAGAACTATTCATAGCTCAGACTGGCTTCTGTATGACAGTGAGTAAGTTGGTAGTGATACTGCTTTTTTCTACTTATTCTTATGGGCTAGAGAATAAACTATTATATTAATGAAAGAAGTCATGACTTACAAAAATGAAATCTTTTAAAAGATAACTTTAAAAACCATTGATCTCACCACCAAGATACACAGTAACCTCACTTTTACCTTCTACTAGCATGTGTTATTATTGTACATTATTAATGTAAAGATATATGTACATTTCCTGTATATCTCTTTGTATGTGGGTATTTAAAATTTCGCCATAGGCTTCACTTAGACTGTGTGTGAAATTAATATATGTTAATAAAATTGAATGGTTTTTAAGTGATAAAAGTGGTTTACATGGTTTTTGAGTTTTTAAAATGAAGTATCTTTTAAGTTTTGTTACTTACAGTATTACTGATAATTTTTAGTAATATAACTTCCCACTAATTATGTCTAATTATTTTTACTCATCAGTGAAAGCTCTCATTTTTTTTCTCAACTAGTATAGTTAGGCTAATGATCATGTCCTGAAGTTTATGGTGTACAGGTAGATTTTTTCACTTAGATTCTGAACTAGGTAAATTATTTAGTTTATTTGACTTGTCTGACAAGTCCTGATGAAAATGAATGATATAGTCCTGATGTATAACACAAAACTGCTGCAGAGGAAAGCTAGAGTGGTGGTAGAGGTTCTCAACAATGCGGAAGATACTACATACAGTCTAACTGCTAACTCTTTGCCTTGCCAGGTCTTCCTAGAAGACAGAGGAGAGTAAGCATACATTTAATGTATAAGAATAAGCTGCTTAGTTAAGTGATTAGAATTCTTTTACAAAAAGAACCACTGTTCCCTAAAGTTTCTAACAGCAAAGATGAGAAATTTGGCACATGTACTTTAGGAAAACAGATTTTCAAATCTAAATATCATTCTATCCTCTGCAATTTTCAAAGAGAGAATCCTTTGAGAGGATTGGAGAATTGTTAACAAGTACAGTGATGAGTCATGCAAGCAATGCTATGAGAAGAACAGTTGCTAGGTGATGCTGCTGTAGCCTAGGGATCACACTTTGTGAGCCACTGGTGTCTGCATTAAGTTTATCATTGTGGTCACACTTGACTCTATTTCTGTAAAAATGTCTATTATTTCACCAGTAAATATGCAGTGAAACTATCATACAAATCTAAGTCGTTAAAAACTTTTAAAATATTTAAAAAATTTATGTTTTAGGAAGAGCAGATATTCTGGGGGTGGCATAATGATGTTCACATATTTGACACAAAGACACAGAGTTGGCTTCAACCCGAAATTAAAGTAAGTATTGTGAAAAGTTACCTTTATGTTTTTATATTCATTAATACTTTTAAAGTGAATTTCTTTTACTAAGTTATTGGCTGTTAGTAATTGAGTTTGTAATCATGTACAAAGGGGTTCTCTTGAGTGCAGTCACTATTATTGTTTTTTTATCACATATTTTTCTCCAGGTTAAGGTTTTCTAGAAAAATCTAGAGAGGTGCCATCATCATTCTTTACCCACAAGTGTAATGCCCTGATTTAATGAAGGTTATTTTTAAAAGTCCTTTCGTAACAAAGTTCATGATTTTGAAAAGCCCATGTTTCATAAACTCATGAAATCTTAGTACTCTTTCATGTGCTAGTGAGCAAACACAAATTCACATTAGTTTAAGCCGTAAAGAATTCTTGCATAGCTGGGAGGTATATTTTGAAGTGGCTCACACAGTGGAAAGGCTACAGGGACCAGGGTCTTAGGAACTGGAGCAAGTTACCCAACCTCGTCACAGTATTTCCATCTTTCTCTTGGCTTCTCCATGCTTCTCTGCGTGCTAGCTTATTCTGTCTGCTGCAGACTGGCCAGCTCATTTAGGAGGGAATATGGCCCTGCCTATACCAGCAGTTCTTTCTGTTGCTGCTGTATTTTCTCAATGTCTGTGTCTTCACCCTGGCTCTACTTAGCTGTGTTCCTCCTCTATATCAATCCCCGTTGCCAAGGGTATGATTGGCCAGGCCTGAGTCTGAGACCTGTCCCTAGGGGAGCAAGGTATTGTGATTGGTCAGATCTTTGGAATTATGCAGAATAAAATACTGAACAAAATTTTTGTTCGAATTTTTGAACAAAACCAAAAATTTGGCTCAAATTCTATTCTCTGTGATTTTAAGAGAGGAAAGAGGATTTGAGAGGATTGGAGGATTGTCAACAAGTACAGTTATGAGTCATTCAAGCAATGCTATGAGAACAGTTGCTAGGTGATGCTGCTATAGCCTAGGGAAAAACCTAATTTTTGTCCACTAACACTCTCTGTTGGCTCAGCAGTAAAGAATCCACTGACAAAGCAGGAGTTTGACAAGTTTGATCTCTGGTTTGGGAAGATCCCCTGGAGAAGGAAATGGCAACCCACTCCAGTATTCTTGCCTGGGAAATCCCATGGACAAAGGAGCCTGGTGGGCTACAGTCATGGAGTCGCAAAAGAATTGGACACAACTTAATGAATAAACCACAACACGCATGTATGCCTAAAATTCCTTGCAGTTCAGCTTCTGTAAATGGAAGTGAGGGAGTTCTATGCAAAATAAAAAGTGTTACAAGGCTTGACCCATCTCAGCATCCTCTTTTTCCTAGCAGTGGCTTTCACATTTCCAGTGTTCTTCTGTTCTGTTCTAATTTTGGAACTAATCAACTATCAGTCAGTCATATTTGTTGATGGAAGTCTCCTGCAGTCAGTATTTGAATGTTAAGATTTATGTATTAATGAAATAAAAGCATCTTGGCTCTCTCAAAATAATTTCATATCAGTAAGCAGGTGGAGAGAAATTTTATTGACACTGGATCTACTAAAACTCATCCTAGATCTCTTTCAGGCTTCTTAACCCTTTGCTTCCTTAGAGAATAAGCAAGAATCTGGAGCTACTGCACACATAGTTTTAGAATGTGCTCCTTGGGATCAGTGAGCTGAGGTAGTTTCTAAGGATTTCTTTAGGACTTCAGGTCTTTCCGTGACTGTCTCTCCTTATCGTAGTTTGTATCCCTACCATCCTTCTGTGCCAGGGACAGGGACACTTTTAGTTAATGTTTAAAAATATTTTCACTGTGATCTCTCTGATCATTTCTTCAGATACGTTCTTCAGTTCAGTTCAGTTCAGTCGCTCAGTTATGTCGATCCCGTGGACTGCACCACGCCAGACTTCCTTGTCCGTCACCAACTCCCGGAGCTTGCTGAACTCATGTCCATTAAGTTGGTGATGCCATCCAATCATCTCATCCTCTGTCATCCCCTTCTCCTCCTGCCTTCAATCTTTCCCAGCATCAGAGTCTTTTCCAGTGAGTCTGTTCTTTGCATCAGGTGGCCAAAGTATTGGAGTTTCAGCTTCAGCATCAGTCCTTCCAATGAATATTTAGGACTGATTTCCTTTAGGATTGACTGGTTGGATCTCCTTGCAGTCCAAGAGACACTCAAGAGTCTTCTCCAACAAATGTACTCCAACAAAGAACTCTTACATTGTTTATATTCTATCTGAAAGTTTTTCTGATGTGGTTGCAGCTAGAATCTGTTTTATTTTCTAGAGATTTCCTTAAATTAATTCATTGTTCCTAAATATCTGCATCAAAGTGCAAGGTAACTTGATACAGTGTAACAGTTACTTGTTTTGAAGTTGAAGAAACTGGATTTGCATTCTAATTGTGTCATGAAAGAGCTGTGTATTTTTAGATAAGCCATAGAGTGTGACATAGGCTTCCCAGGTGACCCTAGTAGTAAAGAACCCACCTGCCAATGGAGGAGATGCATTGATTTTTAGTACTTAAAGAATCTGCCTGCAATGCCAGAGACCCAGGTTCGATCCCTTGGTCAAGAAGATCCCCTGGAGGATGGCATGGCAACCCACTCCAGTATTCTTGCCTGGAGAATTCCATGGACAGAGGAGCCTCGTGGGCTACAGCCCATAGGATCACAAGAAATGACTAAAGCGACTTAGCACACACACATAGCGTGTCATCCATAAAGTAGAAGGTTGAAAGAGTTTTCCTACACAGGATTCTTAACCCTATCAGAACAGAATTGCGTTATTTTGAGTATTTCTAACAACTTAATAAGCACTATATATCATTTACACAGTCAGATAAGCTAATGCAAATGCCATTACTTTGGTTTTATTTGGACTGATATGAACCCAGTTTACTCAGAAGCTTTGGTTGGCTATTAAATGTATTTCATAAATTAAAAAGGAGAAGGTCAACATTTATTTCATAATGAACATATATGTAGTAGAAGAAGTTTTCTAAAATTTCACATCAGATACTGGAGATTAAAACTTGTCTTGCTTGAAGAGTTGGGAATCGCAACACAAATGGTTCCTTCTCATTTATTTCAAAGTCTTATGAAGGTAATGGGGCTTCCCTGGTGGCTCAGATGGTAAAGAATCTGCCTGCAATGCAGGAGACCCAGGTTCGATCTCTGGGTCGGGAAGATCCCCTGGAGAAGGACATGGCAACCTACTCCAGTATTCTTGCCTTGGAGAATTCCATGGACTTTGGAGCCTGGTGAGCTATAGTCAATGTGGTCACAGAATCAGACATAACTGAGCAACTAACACACACACATATAGGTAATATCAGAATTATTTCTTACCGTGTTGACCTTATAGTTACTCAAGTAAACCTGAAAAGTGTAGAAAGTTATGATCTTTGATGCAGAGATTAAATTTTGTATGCCCACATTTGGTAGCCAACAAGCTGAAAATACTGGGTTCCTTCAGAATTTGGAATGAAAAATACAAACAGAAAAGTCCTCATGAACACGTGGAAATTATGCAGAAAATTATTTATATTTTATTCATTCATCTGCTCATTATACTTTTTTCCCCACCAATCTGAAACTTCTCTGAAGAAAAGGTTTGCTATATTTATTCAAAGTAAAGGATAAAGGTGTATTTTCAGTTAATGTCAAGAGTTTTAGTAAGAGATAAAACACTGGCTTAAGCCAAGAGTAAAGTTCTTATTGTGGAATTTGAAACACCAAGAGTCTTCAGGGACAGATTTAATTTTTTTATTAGAGTCTCTGAGATTACCATTCTGTGTACTGCTCATTCATATTAACTCTGTGTATGTATGTGAGAGAGAGAGAAAGAAAAGAGAGGAAAAAAGGGGTGGGGTGTATCAGAGAGACAAAGAGAATGTCTTTAATTTTTAAATCTTTACATTTTGAGCTAAAATTAATGTGAAATCTCATGCTGCCAAATAGTGTCAGGTATTTAAGAAAAACATTAAAAAAATAAAGATCTGAGTGAATTAATTCCTTAAGAGTAGTATTTGTCTGTAACTGCTTACTACCTTGAACAGACTTTTGCATTAGGGTTTTTAATTAAGCTACATACATAATTGTAACTTAGCAGCAAGTATTTTGCATACTGAGCATAGGAATGTAATTTACAGCTGTCCTAAGCCTTTGTGCTCTGTTTTCTGATCTCTGCTTGCAGGGTGGCATTCCACCACAGCCACGAGCCGCGCATACATGTGCAGTTCTTGGAAATAAGGGCTATGTCTTTGGCGGACGTGTTTTGGTTAGTGTTTTTTATGGAAATGGTCTTTTTTTGTTTGATGTTCCCTATAAAAATTTATCCTTTGTTTTTGTGGAATAGCTGAACATTCAGATAGTCTGGAAATTAAAATACCATTCAATAATAACTTAAAAAAATCTCCTATTACCTGAACAGACCATATCTGAGTAATCACAAATGATTATAAATCATATTTTAATGGGGAGAATCCTTCACTTCAGTGATTTATCAGAAAAAACTTTACTTCTTATTATCTAAATCTTGTTTATACTCATTTTTCCTTTCTCCCTTGACACATTAATTTGGTAGCTCTATGCTAATTTCATTAATGCTTAGCATTGTTTCCCAATATGTAAACTTCTGATATTAAGTAAAATAGAGTTGATCTATTTTTAATATGACTTTATTTTAAAGCCAAAATTTAAGTCCATGAAATATGTAAAACACTGACTGGCCAATTTCATACATTTTTATTTTAGCAAACTAGGATGAATGATTTGCACTATCTAAACTTAGATACCTGGACCTGGTCTGGAAGGTGAGTTCGAAATTCTAAGTATTGTTTTAACCTATAGCTATTTCTGTGTTTGTGTATGTCTGCACATGCATGCTGTAATCCAAATTTGGGTCTGTAAAACTGAACAGATGTTTTCTTCCCCTTCAGATTGTTTGCCTAAGCAAGGAATATATAGATATAAATATAGAGTTTGTTCTTTAATCAGGCTACCTAAAACATGAGAACACTAACAGTTCAAAATTGACTATGTGAAAGTACTGGGTTTTTTTGAAATTACTGGTTTTATATTACAGATTCTTAAGGGTCTTTAAGAAATAATGCAGTTTTAATGGAGTCAGATAACAAACAGATAATCAAGTGAGTCAAAATCAGATTTTATTGCTCCTAATATATATTTAGAAATAGAATAATATATTTAGCTATCAATTCAGCTGTTCACATAATGAGATAGAATCAGAGCCATACATTATGCCAAAGTACAAATGCTATTAAAAAATGAAACCACAGAAGTACTAGAAGGAAATATCACAATTTATCTTTAAAATCTGGATGTGGAAAAAGCTTTTCTAAAGATGATATGAACCCAAAATTCATAAATGAAAAGACTGATAAGACCACTTAAGAATTAAATATTTCTGTGTAGAAATTAAATATTTCTGTGTAGAAATATATACCATAAAAAGTTAAGAGGCAAGTTGGAAAATGCAGGCAAAAAGCAAACTAGAAGTAATATTTACAGTAATTCTAACAGAAAGGGCTATGATTCACAAGAACTCAGAAAATCAGTAAGAAAAAGACAATATAGTAAAAGTGAACAAGGAACATGAATGAGCAACTCATAGAAGAAATATGGATATTTATAAATTATTATTTTTAATGTTTAACTTCATAAATTATTAAAGAAATTGAAATAAAAATAATAATTTTCACTTACCAGGAAGAATAATTACAAATGACCAGTGTATCGTAGGTTGTAACAGCACAATTAGTGGGTGTTTAAATTGGTACAGTTTTCTGGAAGGTAGTCTGGAAATGTGTTTAAAATATGGAATTTCTACTTTGATCCAAAATTCCTCCCAAGACAAAAATTGGACAAGTGTTTATATGTGTGCACATATGTGTATATGTGTGTGCATACACAACAAAGATGTTTATGGCAACATTATTTATTTATTTTTTGGCAACATTATTTATAAAAGCAAAAACATGACATCAACCCTCATGTCCATAGGTGGGGACTGTTAAATCATGATACATTTGCCCAGTGAACTGCCATGCTTCCATTACCAAAAGAAACTATGCTTCATGGAAATATTCTGCAACATATTAATTGAATGAAAAAAATTTACAGAACAGAATATGTGATCCTATTTGTATATTTTAAATAAATATGTTTGAATGTGCATAAAAGTCAGGAAAGATATATACCAAATTATGATTTCTTATTGCTGGAGAACAGGATTACAGAACTCTCCTTTTAAATAATTTTGTGGTTGAACATTTTGTAATCCAAATATTTTTTAGTAGTTACAAAAACAGTAAAAATATTCCCATTTTGGAAAAAGCAAATTACATCTTCTACCACGGGCCCATGTTCTTCTCACCTCCTAAATTGATTAAACTTTTTCACTTATGGTCTTTTTGTGTGTATTTTTTTTTTGGCCTCAATGCATGGCATATGAGATCTTAGTTCCCTGACCAAGATTTGAACCTGTGTCCCATGCACCAGGAAGTCCTTGTGGTTATGTTTTTATTTTAAGAATATGACAATATTTGTTTGAAATCTTTACAGGTTTATCCTGGATCTGGAATAGCTTGCATGCTTTTATTTTGCAGTTAGAGTAGCTAGTGTTTTCAGGAAATTCCATAATAAAAAGACCAAAGTAAAAAACAACAAAATCCCACAGTCAGCTGAAAATACAAAATTAAATGTGAAACAACAGTCAAAAATGATAGACATGAAAATAATTACATTGAAAACCTGAAGAAGTTTTTACTGATTTACCAACAGGGAAGCCGAATCTGGCCTCTGTACACTGACACCGAATTAAATCTCAAAGATAGAGTTTTGGGTGAAGTAAAAAAGAATAGCTCTATCGCTGTTTCAGGCAAAGGGGGCTACAGTGGGCTAATGCCCTCAAAACTGTGTGTCCCCATCCGAGGGAGCTTGTGAGGAGTCTTACAGTCCAGGAACAGGACTGCTGATAAGGAACAGGGTTTGTGCAGGGTCCACATTCCTTCAGTCCAGAGATCGTCTGACGTCAGATGATGACGGGCAAACTGTGACCTTCCCTGCCATGGTGAATGTTTCATCGACTAGTTAACATCTTCCATTTGGTGAGGGTTTCAGTGCTACTGAAGAGTTCAAAGATATTATATATATCCCTTGAGGTGGAACCAGGACCCTGCCCCAAGAATGCACTTTTGTTTCTTCACTGCTCCTCCTTTGTTTCTACACCCGCTCCTTTCCCTGATCAGCAACTGTTTGAACCTGCCCTTTGGAACTCAGAGAAGGGGCCACAGAAAGGCTTTTGTGCCTAGGAGCTCCATAGGATCCAGCATTTCCGCAGGAATGATGCTCAGTATGCATTGTGAATAACTCGGAATTGACTTTTTAAATTTTCAGTCTGTGTTCCGTGGCCAAGAGGGATAGACGTTACAAGGAAAGAAATTGCATAAATTTGTCTAAGAATTTAAGAATGTTTTAAAAATATTATTGTAGGTATATTGTAGGTAGTTTTTTAAACTGGGAAGGGCAGTTTTTTCTTTCGAGATCTGAGATGATCAAAAACCTTTTATTTTGACTAACACAGTCAAAATTTTTTTGACTAGACTTTTCTATTTTTTCCCTCACCACAGGATTCCTATTAATGGAGAAAGCCCTAAACATCGGTCATGGCATACTTTAACACCAATAGCTGATGATACTCTTTTCCTGTTTGGTGGACTAAGTGCAGACAATATTCCATTAAGTAAGCTGAAGTTTAGCCTACAATTAATATCTTATTCTTTTTACCTAATTGTATTTGATACTATGGTATCTTTCTTTTTCTGATTTTATAGTTTACCTTTATCCCCAACTATGCGGTCACATCAAGAATTTAGAAGTCCCCTTTGTTTTTGTACCCTTAACTCTCTTTAAGTTCTCCTGTTTCCTTGGTGTAGGGAAAGGAAATAGTTGAACCTAGGGGAATTAAAGCCCCTTTCAACTATAGTATTATGTGGTTTTGTGTCCTCCTAATTTTGACCCAGATGCTTACACTGTAGTCTAGAAGAGGGATTAGAAGAGCCTTTCCCAGAAGGCTCTGAAAAGACAAGGTAGGAATGCCAGTTGCTTCTCTTTTTGTTCCAGAAGTATAAAGAAAGTGCTTAGCTAGAGTTTTTTTAACTCCTGACACTGCTGATTCCAACGGCTGTGAGTTTGTATCCCAGTTTTTCTTCAGCAGTAAAAATTGTGGCATCAAGATAGACAAATGACCAAGAATATTCACTTAGTTTGACATATTAAGTGTTTTGTAATTTAACTCCGAGTTTTCTATAGCTAGAGACATTTTCCTTAAGATACTTTATATACCATTAAGACCATTTGTATAATTTTATATAGGCTGTAAAAACAATTACTTGTTTTCCAACAAAAATTTTTATTGTGCATCAACTCTGTACCTGGAAGTCTGCTGGCCAAGAAACTCCAGATGCTGGTTGGAGGAACAGCCAGTTTTTATAGATTTTTATACTTGTCTAATTTGTGGGTTTTTTAATTAAAAGAGATTTGGAATCTAATTTAAAAACTAACATCTATACATCTTAAATAGATACAGTATTGTGTCAATTATATCTCAATAATAAAACTGGAAGAAAAAAATTAACGTTTACCCATTACATTAGGGTTTACTTAATATATCTTCATGAGCTCTAGTGCTTCAGATCCCTATATGCTGGTTTTTGTCATTGAACTATGGAGAACTAAATGTCCTAACTCCTAGTCTAGTCAGTTTCCTCCCTTAGAGATTCAGCTTAAGATATGGTCATGTGGGTATCAGATGATCCCAGAAAACCATTTGTAGTTTTCTTGGCTGTGACTGTAGCATTGTGGTTAAATGATAATAGCTCTGTGGCTATTTACAAAATGTCCAGTTGTTGTTTTTTTTTAGTGATGCTCACTGAACTATGTATGGGGAAAGTGATAAGAGAGCTAGGATTTGCTTTAGAATAATTCAGCAGCAAGAATAACAAAAAGACATAAATGGAGCACATGCGGCAAAACCTTAATAGTTGTTGAATCTGGGTTATGTGAAAGTTCATTGTCGTGTTCACTTGACTTTTGTCCATGTTTGAGAATTTTTATGGTAAAATAGGCACACACACAAAAGATAGTCATATAAATGTATAATGATAAATTTGGGGGAAAAAATTAAAATTTTATCCCAAAGACCTGATCTTAATTTCTGGACTGTCATAATATTGCAGGTGATGGTTGGATTCATAATGTCATAACTAATTGTTGGAAACAGCTTACACATTTACCTAAAACAAAACCCAGGTAAGTCCAGAAATATTGAAATAGTTAAGAATTTTAAAGTATTAAGATATAGCAGTAAATTTATAGTGTTTGTCATTAAAACCAGGAACCATTTGGAAGGATATCTTTCAAATAAACTTGATATTACCCGAATAATACATAGTAGAAAGGATATATTCAGTTTCTATCCATATTTGTATATTTGAAAGTATTACTCTTTTAGCTAACTGCATAATCTTGCCTGATAAATATCAGAAGGCTAAGAAATTGAAAGTACCATATGATGCTAATATTTTTAATAAGTAGATGAAAATGGAGTTGGCTTTATTAGTAGTTATTTGGGTTTTGAAGTGGTTTATAGCAATTTAATGAGGAAGTTGCTTTCATGTTTATCAAGTAGATGACAGATTATTATTTTGTTTATTAACTGATATACTCATTAATGTAAATTTCTTGAAATTGTATTAGTTATTTGTGGTATATTATAGAGTAAAAGATTATAGAAAAATATACCATTATTAGACTGCAAAGAAAATCACATTCATATTGTAGTTCTTATTTTTTCTAATTTGATTGAATGTAATGAAGATATATTCATAGGAGATTCAAGTAGTTTTATTCATTTTCATGTCATGTATTTCAGAATTTTTTACCAAGATTATATTAATGTGAAGCTTATTAATGATATATTAATGCACAATTAATGATATATTAATCAATTAAGCTAATTAATGATATTGATACTATTAATTATTATTATTAATGATATATCAATGCATAACCTAATGTTATGTATTTCAGAAATTTAAGAAATAACAAGTAACATACTGGAGAAAAAGGCCTAAAAAATACATACATTGTGTATATCTATATTAATAGGCACAATACATTTAGAGCTTATCATAACTTCATATGTGATTATTATATTCTTATGTATAAAAATTCAGTGGAATGTATTTGCAATTCTGGGTCTTTTGAAATATATTGTTTAATTTAAAGAGTTTTATGTTAAAATCCAGGAGCCCAGTGTTCTAGTCCTTGCTCAGCTAACACTTAGTTTTTTGGCTTGGGAAAGTCACTTTGAAGAAGCTGAGCATCAATTTCTTCATCTGTGAAATGAGGGAGTTGGACTAGATGAGCTCTTAGTTCTCTTCCAGTTGTCTGTGTGAATGCATTACTTATAGACCAAAGTGGTAGTAAGAATGTTTAATTTTTAATTGCTCCTGTTTAATATTTCAATCCTTAATGAGTAATTAGAGCCATACAACTGTTATCAATAAAATACTAGTTAGAACTGAGCTATGTAAAGAGATTTCTTTGAACTCAACTGATGTGTCATGTAAATCATATGCTTTATTAGAATGTTTAGGTGATAAGTTTAGAGCAGCTGTGAGAGGACATAAACTATCAGTCTATAGAAAAAACATCAGGTTGCAAGCTAGATGTCACCAAAATCAAGGCAGGAAAGGCTTTCCAGTATTCCTTGATGATGAAGTCCAGGCCAGAGTTTCCCTCAGGCAGCTAAGACAAAGGCAGATCTATCTTCAGGTTACAAGGTGAGGAGGAGAACAGGTGGGATACAGTTTATTGTAAGGAGAACATATGTAAGTGTATAAATACTAATTGTTTTTATGAAAGTAAGAGTGTATGTAACATCAAAATGTATTTTGTGCAAACTTTTCCAAGTTATAATTTGAAATGTAAGCTGCCCAATCCTCCTCTTGTAATTCTACAGAAAGGTTTCTCAACTTTGGTATTACTGACGTTTTGGACCAAATTATTGTTTGTTGTTAGGGGTGTCCTGTGCATTTTAGGATATTTAGAAGCATCTCTGGCCTTTATGTAATAGATGCCAGTGGTGTTGCGCCCACTCCCCTCTTGCCACACATACCTGGTATTATAATAATCAAATATCTCCAGATACTGTCAGATGTCCCCTTGGGGGCAAAATTGACCCTGTCCTACAGTGTAGCACTCTCTTCACTAGGTCTTACTTTAGATAAACTATGCTTGGGTGAATAGCCATCTATATAGGCAGATCAGATCAGCTATATAGATGGCTATCAGCAAGGTCCCTTTTTTGTTTCTGTGAAAGATGTCCAATAAAGTGTTGATATGTAGAGCCTTAGACACTGTTGAATCCCATGAGTATTGCCAAGGTTACACATGGCTTTCTCTTGTCAAAATTAAGCTGTTCCTTCCTGTGAGGGCATTCATTATACTCTGTCTCCTTTGCTCAGTCCCTCCTCCAAACCCTGTCCCCAATCCTACAACATAATCTGCATGTTGCTGAAGATCTATACAATTTATATTCTAACATACAGGTTGGAGAATTAATTGGGAAGAATATTTCCCAAACAAAATTTCTAATGACTCAGTTCTGTTCTGGGTCCCAAGTGCATTAGTCTTTGAATGTGTCATGATTGTTTGAGAAAACTATTTTAACAAATTGTGTACAATCCCACTGTGTGCACTTGTGGAAATTAAATAAAAATAATTAATGTACTAAAAATAGTTATGTGGTAATAAAAGACATGGTAGTACGTAATTTGGGAGGCATCTGTTGCTTCAGAAATTTGGCCTATTAAGGAAAGCAATCAAGTACTCTCAGAAACAAAGCAATGACTGTAAAACTTCATTTATTTTCTAAAAGTGAGAAATTATGTGTACTATTTTCTGAGAGTTAGACCCCCAGAAACATTGAATTTTATAAAAATGTAACATTACTTTTGGTAAATAATGTGAAATTGTACATGAATATGAGCTATCAGACCATTTCCAAAACATCAGATGCTCTAGCTCTTTCTGAAATAATTTGTGTATTGAGTAAATTATGCTAATATTTTGTGTTTGCTTTTGTTAGAAGTTTTTGAGCACCTACTGGATGCAGAAAACCTTATTAAGCATTTTTAAGGAGAACATAAAATTAGATTACCGAAATTCTAGTGGTGTGCTGGTAAATAGTTATCAACTACTGTCCAAGAAAAACAAAACCGAAAAAAGTCCTACTTTGTAGTATTTGCTGATTTCCACTGTGGCCAACATATCATTGAACATGATGTGCCTGGAGTTGACAGGCACAACTGGCTTTACCCAAATCCAGCACACCACTGGGGCCATTTTTGACCTTAAAGACTTTATAGAGTTTTGTTGGGAGTTAGAAAACAAATTACATCAAACAATTGAAGTAGTAGATAGATCAGTTTGTCTTCAAATGTAAGTTAAGATATTGTAAAATAAGCACATAAATGTTGAAAGGTGCTGAGCAGAGAGGGTAACAGAGCCAATGTGGGTGGTGTTTGGAATCCTTCCTGGGGATTTTGAGCCTGTTTTTAGGCCCTGAGAGAATGACTTCTCATTCTAAGCCTAAGAAACAGGGCGAACCAAAGCCTAGAAAGAGATGTAAGCTTTTCTCTTAGGGGACACAAATGAATGGACTTGGCTGAAGGTGGAGGGAGGGTTCATTTGAGAAAAGAAAGGAATTACAATTTATCAGAAAAAGAAATAGCTGTTGATCATAAATTTGAGGCTAAGAACAATGGCACAGATACTTCCTGATCAGGAAATATCCATGTTTAAAAACAACAAATATTTGAAATATATTATTTATCAGTTCTATGTAGCTGGAAGAGATTAGAGACAGAAAAATGAGGAATGTGTTATGGTATTCTGTACCCAAAGTGATTAATGTGACAATGTAAAGAGAATGAGGAGAATAGCGCCATGGCAGAGAGCAATAAGAAAACTGTTTATGGAATAGGCTGGTCAGTTCTTTTTCAAATTGTTTTATTTTGTGATACTATCTATGAGATAAAGAGGTTAGAAAAAAGTTGAAGGATATAATATGAAAGAGTTATTGGGAGTCATCTCTTTCATTGAATAATGTGATTTAATAAACCCTAGAACCCAAGTCTCTAATGATTCTAGAGGAATTTAAAATCTAACCTCTTTGAGGATATGGCACAGGCTTACGTTCAATCATGCCTCTTTTGAAATAGATTCAGTTTTAGAGTGTTCAGTTTAAAATTGATTTATAAGTGATGTACAGCTTCTTCCTTGATAGTACTTCACTGTTTATAATTTTCAATCACAGGTTATGGCACACAGCCTGTTTGGGAAAAGAAAATGAAATAATGGTATTTGGTGGGAGCAAAGATGATTTACTTTCCTTGGATACAGTAAGAAATTTTCATATCTAAATATTTTCTCTGAGTAATTGTTTCATTGAAGCTAAATGGCTGTTCAAAAAGATTATTGATATTCCTACATTGAAAAATATGGAAGGGCACAAAATGTTACACCGTTGTATGATTAATCTCCAGAATGAGTGACTTTTGTGAAGCATTTCAGGATATTTGGAGTTGATAAATCAAAATAGGTCTATTAACTTACCATTAGTCAAGTTATTAAGAAGAGCTTTTAAAAGATGACTCTTCCTTTTCTCTTTGACCCTTCCCATAGTCTGGGTATTTATAATTTTATCAAATTAAAATATTTGTAAACATGAAAAGAATATATATAATGTATATGTAAACTACTAAGTATAAGTACTCTTGAAATTTGCTACCTAACTTAATAACTGGAACATTATCAATGCTAGCTTTTCCCTTCATGAGGAAACTACTTTGAAATGTTTAAAGTATATTTTATTTCTATTTTATGTTCCCTTTGCTACTGCTTTATCCGCCCCTGTTTTACAATTGAGTTTAGTCAAAGCATTCTAATTTTAAAATCTGGTAAAACTAAAGTCAAAGGGATAAATAAGTAGATTTTGTAGCTTGTGTGGCTCAGCTGGTAAAGAATCTGCCTGCAATGTGAGAGACTTGGGTTCGATCCCTGGGTTGGGAAGATCCCCTGGAGAAGGGAAAGGCTACCCACCAAGTATTCTGGCCTGGAGAATTCCATGGACTGTGTAGTCCACGGGGTCGGAAAGAGTCGGACATGACTTTCACTTTTCACTTTGGAAAGTATTTTTCTTTCCCTCCTAGCACCCTGGGAAATTCAGAGAGATGGGCACAGTCTGTACATGATGGACCAGGAGCTCAGGATTGCTTGCTCTGGTTTGCATCAGGCGCTGGGGAATGGCTGACACTGGGAGCTGGTGGGGATGGGCTACTCTTGAGCCAGAGCCCGCCCCCAAGAACCCCAGCACCCTCTCACCTCTTCAGGCATTGTTTTTTCCAGACTTGCTCCTACAGAGTGGCAAGCTGAAATAAGGTGGCTTTTCTCCTGGGAATTTGGTTTACTGTAAGGTTCTGGGGCCTCCAAATCAAATATTAGGTATAGTGAAAGTTTTAGAACTTTCTATGGCTAAGAACTTGGTGCTTTAAGAAAAGATTAAAACCACAACTTTACCTTTATTTAAAAAGCAAATTTAAAAAATTAAAAAAATAAAAAGCAAATTTTGTGGTTTGTCTTTGTTTTCTTTTTTTTTTTTTAATTTTATTTATTTATTTATTTTTTATCACAACCATAGTGTATCTTTTTTTTTTTTTTTTACATGTATTCCCTATCCTGGTCCCCCCTCCCACCTCCCTCTCCACCCAATCCCTCTGGGTCTTCCCAGTGCACCAGGCCCGAGCACTTGTCTCGTGCACCCAACCTGGGCTGGTGAACTGTTTCACCCTAGATAATATACGTGTTTCAATGCTGTTCTCTTGAAACATCCCACCCTCGCCTTCTTGGCACTAGAAATCTCTATTTAGGATACAAACTTTATCATTAACATATGAATTCCAATTAAAATCATGATCATAAATTGTGAAGTTCTAAAGACCTACTTGAAAGGATAAGAAAAAATGTTGACTCCTCCCCATTAACTTTTTGATGAGAGAGTCATTATCCAAAAAATCATCCAAATCTGTGATTTTCAAGTTAGGAATTCCCAGGGAATCTATCACCTGGAAAAGGGAGACAGAATAGAGATTTTAAAATGAGTCATTTGGAAGAAAAAGTTCTGCTTAAAAGACAAAAACTTGAAGACCACTGCCATTCTCATTTTGAAACCACTGTTCTAAGAAAAAAAACATTTGCAGTTATATAGGCTGTGCTTAGTTAAAAGTTGGGTCACTGAATAAATGGTAACCATACACCCAAAGTTTGTATAGCTAGCAGGTGTGTATATATTTGTGTGTGTGTGACTAGAGATTTATTTGCTGCTTTACATAATTTCTTCTACATTTATAAAATAAAAATATTCAGTTATTAATGTTATTGTTATTTTTATTAAAAGTCTTGACCACTCCTTTTTTATGTTGATTAGGGTCATTGTAATGATTTATTGATCTTTCAAACACAGCCTTATTCATTACTCAGGTAAGAAAATTCATTACTTTAAACTATGTATGTTATTAATATATGATAATTTCTTTCTTCTTCCTTTTTGGGAAGTGTTACAATATTTTTCAAGTAGTTTATCACTTGAATTTAAGTTTACAGCTGCCTAAGAGTATAATCCAGAGAAGGCAATGGCACCCCACTCCAGCACTCTTGCCTGGAAAATCCCATGGACGGAGGAGCCTGGAGGGCTGCAGTCCATGGGGTCGTGAAGAGTTGGACACAACTGAACGACTTCACTTTCACTTTTTACTTTTATGCACTGGAGAAGGAAATGGCAACCCACTCCAATGTTCTTGCCTGGAGAATCCCAGGGACGGGGGAGCCTGGTGGGCTGCCATCTACGGGGTCGCACAGAGTCGGACACGACTGAAGCGACTTAGCAGCAGCAGCAAGAGCATAATCAAACTTGTAATGATGCATCATATGCCAGTATAATTTCTAAAAATTAAAATATACAGTATAGTCACATTTTTGTTTCTGAAATTGAATTTAGTTCATGTGGTAGTGTTAAACATAGTGTACTTCCTTGATTCTAGGCCTGACTTTTTCATATTTTCACTTTCTGAAATCAGAGTGTGTCTAACACTAGACACATACATGCACGTCTCATTTAGTATACAGAATTTCTCTTTTAACCCCAAAGTTGTTATTTAGTTAGTGGTGTGACTTTGTGGGTCAGCTCTGCCCAGGAAGAGTTTTGAGAGTAAGCGGGGGGCCAACAACTGAGCATTAAGAACTCATAACATTTGAGGCATAGGACAGGACGCACAAGAGAGTGACCAGAGTTAAAGATGAAGCAGGAGATAAAGGGAGCACAAAAACCGAGGGAGGAAGTCACTGCAGATGGAGCATCTGCTTCCTGTAAGGAGGTCACGGGACATCTGGGTCGGCAAGTGCCCTGGAGTTTGGCAGTACTCAGACGTTGTTGGTACCGTAGAGGGGGAAGCCAGGATGACTTCTGGGGGTGAGCACAACCAGAGGAGTGAGAGTATTTGTTTCTATGCTTACAGAAGCCTTCATCGAGGCAGTTATTGGAAACACAATAAACGAAGGGAAAGTGAATGGAGCAGGCTCTTGAGGAGGTTGATTTTAGCAAACAGGTAATAGAACTATCCCTTGACTGGAGGAAGAGTACTTTTAAAATAATGGGGAAAGAAGGAAATATAGTAATAAGATTAGGTGACTTTGTTGGTTGGGCAGGGCACTGAGGTGGTTTTGGCTGACAGCGAGGTTGTCTGAGGAGGAAGAGGAGAGGTGAGGCTGTGAATTTAAGAATGGTGAAGATGTGCCACAGCTGCTGAGGAGACTGTGAGCAGATGCTGATGAGGGATGTATTAATACAACATTGTCCTGCTGAGCACTTGGGAGGGCTCAGCTGAGATGGAACAGAATCTGTATGCCACAGCCACAGAAACGTGCTTTTCTCCAGCAGCATGAAGCAGCCAGGTTTTAAGTGCAGAAAGGAGATGGTTGGCTGAGTTTAGCCACGATGGTACAAACAGAGGGACAGTGGAGAAAGAAAGAGATTGCTGGCAAGAGAATGAAGAGTGAAGTGCATATGGACAGGAGAATGCATACGGATAAACTGTGAATGAATATGGACAGGCTGGTTAGGGAAGAAAGTTACAACCGGACTGGTGTCATTATTTGGAGATCTGGAGAGAGTCAGAGGAGGAAAGGGGTGCAAGAGCTAAAAGAAGATAAGGTTGTGGTCCAGGAGGAGGACAGGAGTTTAAGGCTCCAGAGGCGAACTGTCCGGAGTGAAGTCATAAGAGTAAAGAGGGTTTTCCACACAGATGTTAAGATCAGTCTAGGGACAAGACTGTGCTGAGCCCAGGGCCAAAGTCCTCAGCAATGGGGGGAAGTGAGCGGGAGGTTAACAGATGGCAGCACCGGACCTTGAAATGATTGCAGCCTGGAAGCGGGAGGGAGGAGCACGGAGAATGCATACTAGTATCCGCTCCTGACTGTAAAAATGGAGATGAGGGGAAATTTGTTCCCTTTTCTCAAGAAGGCTGCGCAGAAAGCAGTTTTCTTAGATTTCACTTAAAACAAGGACAGAAAGTCACAGGAAGCAGGAGTGTTTGTGGACACAACTGGTGTTCCAAAAGGCACCAAGGAAAGACTTGGAAGGGGAGATAAGCAGGGATGGGGAAGATGAACCAGTATAGGACACTGGACGTGCCTGCCTTTGAGGTTAGGACTCAGCTTGGCTGAGTTAGGACTCAGTCCATTTCTGGAGGTGGGTGCAGGCTGCAGGGAGGGTTGGGTCACAGGGAATGAAATTGATGCAAAGTGTTGCATCTCAGGGTGATGGAGAAGAAGACAGTTATCAGAGAAGAGTAAATGGTTATTGGGCTGGAAGAATACGTGAAAAGGAGTCTGCTTCAGACTAACTTGCTTCAAAATTAAGTCTGAATCTTTTTTACTTAAAGAACAGTATACATGGTAAGTTGTAACTGGATTTTGGTCAGACACGGCACTATGCTATAAAAATACACAATTAATGTGGTGCTCTGGAAAGAACATATATCCTGTCACGTTCCAAACAATACAAAGGGAGTACATAATCCTGTGAGATTTTTATAATTTTATTTTTATAATACTTGCCTATCAATATTTTATAAATTCAGGTTCAAAAAGTAATAATTCTGTTATGTTTGGCTTACAGGTCATGCCTTGACTGCATTGGTAAAAATGCTATAATTTTAGAAAGTCAGATATCTTTATTACCTCCTAAACTTCTCCAACAAGTACTCAAAAAAATAACATTTTGGACTGCAGCTAATCACCGGGAAGAACAAAGAGCCCAAAAAGAAGAAACAGAAAATAAATATCAGTGGATCAGTAGCAATTAAGTTGTTATATATGCTATATGTTTAATATGTTTAAACATTTTAATCAGACTGTATATTTACCCCCCAAATTGGAGGCTTTATTTAGAAGATAAAATCTGAAACAGAAATTCTATGTTAAAGTGATTGTATGGCATGAGATATATGGAAAGAAGATGTTAATGGCAGATTAATTTATATTTATATTTGTAAATTAATTTAATTGTAAGTTGCAGAAAAAAAATCTACTTTCTGAAAGTAAGTACAATTGTCAGAGACTTTAACTCACTGTGTCCTCTTTACAGGAAAGATTATACAAATTTGAGAAGAATTAAGAAATTACACCCAAGGATTTAGGGATTCTCCAATATAAAGACAAATAGATATATAAAAACACCTCATGTCAGCTTTCAGAAAGAATAGATTTTTCTCAAGTCACTTTAAAGTCACCTAAAGTTTCCCATTAAATAATTCAGTTATTTAAAGAACTTCTTAAATAACTAATGTAGCTGGCCAAAACGAGAAAATAGGCAGGCAGTGGTATGGGATTAAATATTGAACTCCTTTTAGCATTTATCTAGTAAAGTATTCTTGGTCATCTTTATTTGAGTAGGGAAATGAATGTCTTCATTGTCTTTCTGTTACCTCTAAGTTGTTAGATTGTCCCATTTTCTCTGTATATATAAAGACAATGTTTGAAAGTGTTACAGTGGAGATTTATCATACAGGGTTTGACATACTGAGAGGCAGCATAGTTATTAACTTTTGAGACACCTTAAAATACATTTTATCTTGGGGGCGTACTTCTAAAGAGTAACCTTCAGTGAATTATGAAATGGGATGATAACCTAGTAATTTATCTTTCTAGAAACTCATTTTGGTCCACACCATTCTACAGAGTTGGTGCTCAAGACCCAGGTTATTCAAAATATGTTATCTTAACCATTTGTTTTCAGTATTAACTCCCTATAAAGAAATGGAACATGAATATTTATCTTTGTAGTCCTTAAATAGTACTTTTTCCATAATTAAGAAGTTCTTCATATATCACAGTCATATCCATCCATTAAATTACTAATAACAAGGAATTGCTGAAAACTCGGTATATAAAATTTCTCTCTACCATACTACCATGCAAGTTGGCTCTGCAATTTAAAATGTTAGAGTAAATGTATTTCTATATTGAAGTATACATGTAATTTATAATGAAAATTACAGTAGTTTGTAGATCTTCTTAAATTTTAGAGATATATTTTATATATATATATGTACTGTATTTTGGATGTGTAAAACTTCTATTTATGTATTGAAATATTTTGTGTTTGCATTTTATTTATTATACAAACTATATAGAATTACTATTTTCCTAGTTTTGTTAGTGTGAACCAGTCATTAGAATTGTGCAAATGATACTTCGGCATAAGTTTTCATTTCTGCTTACTATTTTTAGGCTGAATAACAGATTTAGAAAGTGAGTCTCACAGGTAATACAGGTCTTAGAAGTAATTATTTTATTACTGTGAACTTTAGTATCAGCAGTCTATAAGGAAAAACTATCTAAATATATTAGATAGTGATAGATGACACAGAGTGGGATGACCTCTTTTTAAATGGCTTCTGAATTATTTCAGTACCTTCTCTAGCCTCTTAGAAAAGTACTTCTGTTTATAAACAGTTTACCTAAACATTAAAAGTTAGATTAGCCCCTCAAAACACACACACTTGACTAAGGCTTTAAGAGAATGAAAATCTATGTATTATCTTTGGCACACAAATCTGGTGTCCTTCTTACTTGACTGATTATGCTGTACTACTTAAAAAAGTTATGTTCTGAACTAGCCCCATTGTAGGAGTGGCAGGGAATTCTTACCTGATCTTCAGTTTCCAAAACTTGCCTTAAAGCAGGGCTTCCCTGCTACTAAGAGATGTAAAGATTCTGGGAGCTGGCAAAACCAGTTTTGAAAATCCCTAGTCAAGCAGTATTCCTTCCTCATTTCTTACCTCTTTATGGTTTACTGTCAACTCTTTTGTTGTTGACCTGTGCTGTGTATAGGAGCCCAAGGCAACATCAGCCTCATAACTTTTTTTTTTTTCTTCAGCCTCATAACTTTAAACCCTCCCTTATGGGTTCTCTGTTTGAAAGATAGGTCTAGAGGGCCTGATTCTCAAGAAAAAAGAATTTCTGGCCATCTTTATTATGTGTATCAATATTCTTCCAGTTGTCAGGAAGGATTCTTTTGAGGTATTATCATTTTTAGAATGATACAGTAAATGGCATATCAAAATTAGTAGTATCTTTTCCAAGTAGTATCTTTGCAAAAACACCTTTAAAAATTATTAGCCTCTTGATAGAAGGTTAAAAATATTCTTTAGAACTTCATGCTGCCAACCCAGAAACGAAGTGATGTTTTCACAAATATATTATTTATATGTATGTATGTGTGAGAGAGAAATAACATAAACTCACTAAAGTAGAATAATTTTCATGGTAGTACATATTGTTTGAAAAAGTAAAATTTTGATTTCAGAACACTTCAAAGGAAAAGAAGCAGTTTTAAGAATTCCCATTTTTTGGTGCCCATTTTTCCATTGTATTAATATTGTGATTCTATTGGAATTTCCAGCTTGATGGAGTTACCATGTGGTCCAGCACATGGGTACAGCAAGAACATTTTCTAAATCACCCATGTAATGGACTGAATGTTTATATCCCCACAAAATTCATATATTGAAACCCTAATCCCCGGTGTGATGATTTTTGGAGGTGGGGTATTTGGGAGGTAATTAGGTTAAGATGAGGTCATGAGGGTGGGGACAGGGGATGGATTAGTGGAAGAGACCAGAGTTCTCCTTCTATGTCCCTTCCCTATGAGAAGGCAGCCCACTGCCAGGCAGGAAGAGGGCCCTCAGTAAGTACCAAGTCTGTACCTTGATCTCAGACTTCCTAGCTTCTAGAACTGTGAGAAATAAATGTTGTTTAAGCCATCCAGTCTGTGGTATTTTGTTATAGTTGCCTGAGCTAAGACAAACCTGAAGTCCACAGTTTATGTTAGGGTTCATTCTTGGTGGTGTGTGTTTTATAGGCTTAGACAAATGTGTAATAACATTTATCTACCTTTATAGTAACATAGAAACTAAGCACTGCTCTAAAAATCCTCTATGTTCTGCCCATTTATTCCTCCCTCCCCACTAAGCCCTGGCAACCATAGATATCTTACTGTTTTCATATTTTTGCCTTTTTCATGTTATACAGTTAGAATTATACAGTATGTACGTTTTTTAGATTGGCTTATTTCATTAGTAATATGCATTTGGGCTCCCCTGGTAGCTCAGATGGTAAAGAATCTGCCTGCAATATGGGAGATACGCGTTCAATCTCTGAGTCGGGAAGGCCCCCTGGAAAAGGAAATGGCAACCCACTCCAGTATTCTTGCCTGGAAAATCCCATGGACAGAGGAGCCTGGCGGGCTAAGGTTCATGGGGTTGCAGAGTCGGACACGACTGAGCAACTAACACACAATATGCATTTAAGTTTCCTCCATGTCTTCTCATGGCTTGAAAAAAATGGCTCATTTTCCAGTACTGAATAATATTCCATTGTCTCAATGTTTTACAAGTGAGGGATCAAATTTAGATCACAAAAATTCTTAATTTTCAGTCTAACGCTCTCCTAACTAAGCTATTCCGGCTAGCTTAGATCACAATAATTCTTAATTTTCTCTTGATCTAATTGAAAAGTGTCATATAAAATGTAAGCTAAAATAGCGTCTGTGTGAACAGGATTCACTTTCCTCCCTGAAGGCCTGGGAGGTGAAGATTTCTGAAACAGTTTTTTTTTTGCAGATTTTTTTTTTTTTTCTGAAACACTTTTTAAGCACAATTTTCCAAACTGGGTGGAGGATGCAGCACTGAATTAAAATTTCTGCTGGACCAAAAGAGCTTATCGAGAAGAGACGTCATGATCCGTTCTGCAGGCAAATCGCGGTGGCACGCAGTCCCGGAGCTGCCTCGCGTGACACAGCGGCGCCTCCGCCCGGAAGCCGCCCAGCGATCGCGGCTGTGGCCACCTGGGACCACGCGTGAGGGTAGAGGTGCCACCCCCATCCAGTGTCCCGGGAAAGAGAGGGCACCGACTCTGGAGACCCTGAAACCTCAAACTTACTAGCTGAGCCATTTGCCACCCGCTTCCGGGCTGTGAATATCCGTCTGTCAAACAAGACCTTCTTGGGAAGAAAGACTTTTTTGCAAGAGTCTAGCTAATTCAGCATCTCCTCGTGATGAAGGGAGGCTCGGAGGTGCTTGGAAGTACCTTGAGCTTCTGGGCCCTGGCCCGGCAGGCGCAGGCGGCGGGAGGACTCGGAGCTGGGGACGCTCAGCGCCAGCCGCACTTCCGGATCCCGGCTAGCGGCGTCAGCGGAATGGGCGGCTCCCAGCGCGGCGTAAACAAGGGCCCTTCGAGGCGAGAAGCGAGCTGGAGGCGGGGCTGACGGGCTGGAGCTGGTATCAGCCCGAGGCGGACCCTTGCCCGCCCAGCTCGCGTCCTAGCGCCCTGGCCGCCCCCAGCCCGCAACCCCTCCTCAGGCGGCGAGAGGCCGTCCTCGCAGAGACGGGCCGGGAGGACATAAGCCCGGGCGGCGAGGCGCGGCCGTAACACCGAGCCTTTCGCCGCCGCCGGGCGTCTCTTTCTTTTCCTTTGTCTTTTTCTCCTCCGCGGGTGCGGGGATTCTGGTGAACCGAAGTGCAGCCTCAAGATGGCCGATGGCTACGAGGACCTGCGGGAGGACGAGCTCCCAGGGCCGGCCTACGAAGGCTACGAATCCGCGGAGCTCGCCTGCCCCGCCGAGCGCAGCGGCCACGTAGCCGTCAGCGACGGGCGCCACATGTTCGTCTGGGGCGGTTACAAGGTCAGTGGGCGGCCGGGTCGCGGCGGGCGTCGGCCGGCAGTTACTGGTCGGGGGCGGCGGGCCGGGCGGGAAGGGCCAGCGTGGCCGCCCCGGGCGCCTGCAGCGCCCCCGCGCCGCGACTCCGCCGCTTGGTTTGTTCTCTTGCGAGTGTGGGAATCTTCCCACGGGTCTCCCCACCCGCCCCAGGGCTCCTGGGCTGTTGTCACGGCCGCCTTCTGCTTACAGAGCCTGCTCCCCGCTCCCTGCCCGCGCTTACCCAGCGCGCTCTCAGATGTCCGAGCTTCACCTGTGGAGGGCGAGGCGGGCGGTGCGAGACCGCGAAACGTGTTTTCATTTAAAGGGTTGGGGTGTAAGAAGGGACGGTGTGTGAGGTCACTCTTTATTTGTTATCGGGCCTCCTAGGAGCACACTGCCTTACAGAGCCAGGGTCCGGTGCCCGCTGGTCCCGTGGCCCACTTAGGAGGAGACGACCGCGTAGGGAAAATGCGCCGGGATTCCCCAAGGCCGCAAGAATTGGCTTGTTGAACCTTCCTGCCGGTTCAGGAGTCCCAGCCACCCTGTGCACCTGCCATCCTAGTGTTATTCGAATGTTTCGGGGCTATTTTCCTTTTGGTTTCAGCTGAGAAAGGGTTGAGATTTTTCACATGAAACTCCTATAAAGAAAATTAATGGAAAATTTGTATCAATAACCGAAAAAAAATCAACAGTAACAACTTTTAACTACAGAATGCAGCCCTTTGACCCTTAGTCATGAACCAGTTGAGAGCATGTAGTTTGTGTTTCTTCTCTTTTCCTCTGTCTAGAAATCCTGCTCAAGTGCCTTCTATTTAAACCTTCTCACTAGTTCTCTTGCCCTTTTGCTTTTAGAGCTTCTTAATAACACTCCACATTCTAGAATCGTCTTATTTCATTTGCTGGGGTGGTTTGGATCTGTTCTTACCAGAAATATT